TTGCTCAGGTTGCAGGCCTATATGTTGAACATTCAGCCTCATTATCAGAGCTGTTACTGTGCAGTCATGACTGAGATTACCTGTCCTATACGGACCTCCAGTGGTGCTTAGCGGGCAGGCCCCAGAGAACCAGCCCGGGTTTTAACTCCCGTCAGGTCGGATCGCAGGGTTGGCATGACGAAAAAAACTGGGGCGGAGGTGAGGAGAAAGTGAAGGAAATGATATAGAGAGCTAAAAGAGAGGCAGACAGAGAGAGTGGGGCAAATATCTGCAGCTCAGTGACCTTTCTAAGTGGATTACATGCCCCGTCAGTGCTATGGGGGTAAACGAGAGGGTAGAGAGAGGGAGTTAACAGCATGGAGAGAGAGAGATTCTTTTAACACTTTATTTAGGCTGATTTAGGCTCTGTTCAGTCTTTTATTTTACCACAAAGGGCAACAGATTTGTAGTAAATCAAACACTAGTGCACCTCTGCCTGCAGCTACTATAACTAGATAATATAAGGTTGCTTCAGATTATCCAAACATGTAATAAACTGCCAAATTGTGCATTAATTACACCTTCAATATGACTGTGTAACATTTCTTCTGTCAATATAATAGATTAATAATGTCATAAAATAGATTAATGATGTAATAATATAGATTATACCATTATTTAGTGTGCAATTTCATCTTTTCCACCTAATAAAGTAATAATGGCCACATAATGTAATAATGTAGTGACCCTAGGTCTGATTCTCATATATGTTATGACAGTGGTTCCCAAACTGGGGGTCAGGACCCCAACCAGGGGTCACAAGCTGTATCTGAGAGGTTGTGAGATGACTAACAGGAATATATGAATACTGAAAATGCCTTTATTAGATCACACAAGTAGAGACATTAATCTGCTGACACATCAGCTGTTCAGCACACCGAGAGGTTTTGCATAGACATGTTGTGTAATGGATACAGTTTAAGAATGTTATTTCCTGCTTGATTTCATTCATTGATGCTGTTTGTTTTGGCACAATACATGAAGGGAGGTGGTTGGTACTTTCTTGTAAGGGAGGCGATAAATTTAGCGATTAAAACAAAACAAATTTTCGGAAAACTGTCAAGTACACCACCATATGTATAAAATCTGAGTTTAAAAAAAACATTTCATTCTTTATGTAACCAGAACAGTTGGATCTGCATTTGTCAGTTCTAGAGCTATGATCAGGCCCGACCTGACCCTGAACCACAGAGGCAATGTTGGGCCCAACCCGAACCCAAATTTTTGCTTAAAATTAAAACATATTTAAATAATTTAAATAGTTATAAAAAAAAGTAAACTACATTCTGCATATAATATAGTGCAAACACCCATTCATTACAGTTGCATGCATTATTTATAAAGTATTACATAGATGTAATTCTGTCCGAGCCCAACACAAACCCGACTGACGGCAGCAGTTTTGGGCCTGAACCCGGCGGGTCGTGTCGGGTGGAGAATCAAAGCTCTAATCAATTCCTGTAACATCCAGCATAGCCCTCAGGTCACAACACTGCTCTCTAGCAACTGGTGCAAATCTATGCAGTGTTTTCAAAAAACATAACTTCATGATATGACCACCCCTAAGTGTGTGTGAGTGTCCATAAAGTTGGCACAGTGCGGCTCTGACAGCACACAGCTGCAGCTGGTTTAAGTGGAAATCTCCAGAGTCGGACTGAGCATCTATGAATGTTTGAAAGTTTATTAGAGCAAAAGTGAGCTCCGCCATGATTTTCTGGATGAACACATGTGGAGGCGAGTGGGGTCAGTGTATAGACGACAGGAAAACAGATGGATGAAGAGAAAGAGAGAGAGAGATGGAGGTGAAAAGAGTGTGAGCTGCAGGCCTGGGCGTGGGAGAGCAGACTGCATTGAGCTGAAGCAGACCAGAGACTAATCTGGAGATTCAGGGCTTGTAAAAACACCTCCACACAAACACACACACACACACACACACTTGACTACCCATGTGCAAATGTATTCAGGCATGTGTGTGTATTGGTAACCCGTCTACGCTCCAGTCCAGATAACGGTTTGCACGCATTTTATGTTTACTGCCAACATACAACGTTCTGCCTATCTTTTAATCCAAAACTCCTGACTTTGACGTATGCGTGCGTTATACTCTCGCTGGGAATCAAACCCTGAACCCTGGCTGCCAACAGTGCCTTGCTTTAGCTTCGAAGCTGCACAGCACCGTGGCTCATAGGGGTCTATCAGGGCACAGATCTGTGTGGTTTCAACAGTCTGTCAGTCTGTGGTTAACACCTGGTTTATAACTGCGGACACATCCTGTACACACACTCGGGAATGTAATGTATACATGCACTATCTATCTGCATGTGTACAAACACAGGCCACGTGGTGATAAACAGTTTAGATTACTTTGCGGAACATAAAAACATAGTAAAACATGTATGATTACATAAAATATATTGGCTAGCAAGAAAAATAAGAACTAAAATGACAAATAATAGTTACAGAATTTGATAAAAGTGGATTAAGGCTGCTGTTAAAGAGACAGATTATTGGCTAAACTATTAAATATTGTTATATATAATAATTGTTCAGCCTGAAACCCTAATATATTTAATTGTAGTGAATGATTTCATTGTATGTGTGTGAATTTTAAAGTGTTTGTAGTATTACAGGTTCTATTATTGATGCACATCGAGAGGCAACTTCTATACTGTAATATTCACACTGTACACGGTCAGATGTTGACCTTTGTCAGAGACCGTGTTATAATGTTGCTAGTGAGAGGCCTTGCAGGAAACCTGATATTGTATCCACAAAGTGTTGAAACACACACACACACAGGCATGTTTAGTAACTTAATATAGAAAAACACACACATGTGAGTCCCAGCTGCAACAGATTGTATGTTAAAGCTTTGCATATCTTTGCTCAGAAGATTAACACTGTTGGATATGATTTTGGTACAGATGTGAACAGCTGTTTTTACCTTGAGCATTTCCATCTCTAAAAGTTACTCTTATATTTCTACTCAACTATATTTCAGAGGGAAATATTGTACTTTTTTTTACTATATATCAAGCTACATTAGAGCTTTTCCATTAAATCAGTTTATAAAATATGATGCATTTTTGTCGGTTAAACTATAAGATAGAACAAAAAGTAGTTTAAAGTATTTTTACTCACTACTACAACTGAATATTTCTACATTTCTACATTGCAATATTACTATTTGTACTTCAAGCAGAAAGAAACTTTAATTTTGTGTTGATTCTGGCGGCCCCTGTGGACAAAAGAGGTAGCATTCCTACTGCCTTGTTTCATTGATTGCAAGGGGAATCCCACCCAACGATGATTAACAATAACTACGTAGAAACAGCAATTCTTCTAGGTCATGGTCTTGTTTGCTTATGTAGCTCATACAGAGGCAGCAGTGTTAAATTGAGACTGTTTTATAACCAGTTAAAAACTCCTTGTAGTAGCTTTAAGTACAGGATCTGGAGGACTTCCTCCATCACTGGTTGTTTTGAACCGATGAGGTAACACTGTTTTGGGTGGGGGGGGTCAGTGTGGGAGACAGTGTGTTGTCACCAAACATATAACCTCCCTTCAGTGATCTCACTGTGGGAATCACTGGGCTGAGACGCCAAACATGTGCCTCCAGTTTCACAGTCTTCAATCTGACCCATTAAGTCCTTCACTTGCCTCCCTGAGCTGTTTTCTGGTTTTAAATCACTGTAAATTCAATATCTTTGAGTTTTTACACTGAACAATGAATCAATTAATCATGGTACATAGATGAATCTACACAGAGAATTAGTCACAGCCTTACTGTCTGCACTGACCAATAAAACGATAATAGAATGAAACCCATCAACACAAACACGGACACACAAAAAGGTTTTCGCAGACACAGAAGAATGCTGACTTGTCTGTCCTCTCTCGTGCACTCTGTGCCTCTCCGTGTTTCTCACAACCTGGCTGCCTGGCATGCGTGCAATCGATGCCCGTCTGGCATTCGCTGTGTCAACAAGCATGGGAAAAGTTAATCAACAGCTTGGCACTCCCACTCCCATCCCTGCCTCCCTTCTCGGCTTTCCTTTAACCCTCGTCTCTGCAACTTTTCCCACTCTCTGCACACCCAAAAGGCACTTCCTGTTGAGAAAAGTGAAGGGTTTTTTGAGTTGTTTGGGTTGAGATAAAAAAGCTTTTTATTTTGGGTCAGCTGGTTGTTTTCTTAATCCTCGCTGACCTTGCATTGTCATCTCATCATCAAACAAACCTGCAGGGAGATCCACAGACCTTTCTCCTTCCCTGTGGGGAGCGACAGGTTGCCTGCAGCAGGCAGTGCTGCAGTGGTGTAATGATGGAGCGCCCTCTAATCCACTTTGACTGAAAGATAATATTGAAGAAAATTGCAATCAGAAACATGCAAATAAAGATTATAATGAACATTTAAACATTTTTGCCTTTATTTATACAGCAGCAACATCTTTATATGATTTTATATACATATACCGGTATATGTATATATTTAATGCTTTGTGGTGGGAAGTATTGTACTTAAGTAGTTACTTGAGTATTTATTTTTTGACTTATTTATACTTTTACCTACATTTTTACCCAAATATCTGTATTTTCTACTCCATACAGTTTCAGAGCAGGCTAGTTTTTAATGCATTTGAGAGGAACTATCCATTTCTATGATTACTATCTTGCATCATTGCACGCCTTCCCAAAATCAAGATTGATGTCGATTCTATTTGACTCTTTGCACAGAAATTGGTAGAAAATGTTCTTCAGAGATTAGGTTTTACTTTTATACTCTAGTACATTTCAGAGCCTGTACCTTTTTATTCTTACTTGAGTATGAAGTTGAATCCCTTATTCTACTTTCTTTTTCGTGTCTGTACTACTACTTGCTGTTCTTTTGTACACTGATATATATACAATAAATAAAAAGCATTTTAAATATCCTCATCTCTCTTTTTCTTGTCTCCCAACAGGCTTGCCACGGGTGTGCGGGATCCAAATGTGACTGCAGTGGAGTGAAAGGAACCAAGGTAGGCAAAAACACACAACCCACACATATGCACGATGTACAGCGGTCAATACGTGTAAACACAGACGAATGCTGCTGACACTTTAAAAAGGTTTATGCATGATAATTTTGCACTGAAATAACAGCAGATGCAATATTTTTTTATTCGTGAAATATGATGATGGCATAAAAGATAACGGCTATCTTAACCCCCATTTAATTATAACATTATATTAAGACATGTTGTTCTTATTATGTATATTTCAGCAAATGTAATGTCTCCTATAAAGACACATTTTAAATTCTAACAACTGTTTTACTCTATTGTCATCTTTATGATCTGTTTACAGCAGAGTTATGGGTGTCGACAAAGCAATTATTAAAAGTTAATACTCAGCTTATAAATGCAGAAAAAATGAATATAATTTAGTGTATAGTTGTGTATGTTAATGGCTGTGTATTTGTATGCGTTTCTTTGCATGTCATTATGTGTGTGAGTGTGATGGGGGGGGGGAGTAATTAAATAAGTAATGTATTAAGTTCTGTATCTGCGTCACTGTGCGCAGGGTGAGCGGGGTTTCCCAGGTCTCACCGGACAGCCAGGAGTCCCAGGATTCCCCGGACCTGAAGGGCCGATCGGACCCAGAGGAGAGAAGGTGGGTTTGGGGTCCATTTGAATGACGTTTGGTTTAAATTTAATAACAGTCCAGGTTTTACTCGAACAGTCGAGGGAAGAGAAGAGAAACCTCACTTCCGGTCGGGCGTAGAGGACATTTGGTTCTATTTCTGGTTGAGATAAGAACTGTATTTTAGGGCTACTTCCTGTAGGTATTCAGGTAGAAATTGCACATCTACGCTTTTATAATCAGGATCAGGTTTAATTTGAAACATTTCCTGAGTATAAACACATTTTTCCATGAAGTGGGCCTCCCTTTTCAAAGGATCTGGGGTGTTTTGGTGCAGTCTTTCAGTACACAGCAGTTGTGTCTGATCCAGTTTAATAATGTCTGTTCTTCCTCTCAGGGTAGCGATGGACTTCAAGGACTGATTGGTCCAAAAGGAATAAGAGTGAGTATATCACATGTTCTTTCTCTCTCTTTTTTTGCAGTTAACTCTTCAAATTATTCTCACACTGAGAAAAAAACTCTCTTTAAATCAGGTTTACATTAATATATTGGTTTTTCTCCTCACTACAGACAGGTTTAGTCAGTAAAAGTTGAATTTAAGTTTGAGTAATTTTCCCCTGATGATTCATGAGGATGAATTGTCCCAGGGATTTCAGGTTGTAGTACCCCTTTCTAACCAGCAGATGTCCATATTCAGTCAGTGAGCTGAATCCTGTGGGTTTCACATCTTCTTTATTTACTGATATTTATTATTTTCCTCCTCGCAGGGGCCTTCTGGATTACCAGGATTTCCAGGAACACCTGGACTTCCAGTGAGTTTTCCCATTGTCTAAAACTTCCCACTCTTACTTTGCAAAAAACCCAGGTAGCATGTGTGATGTAACTTCCTGTTTACTTCCTGTTTCCCAGGGTCTGCCCGGACAGGATGGACCTCCAGGTCCGAGAGGAGTGCCGGGTTGCAACGGGACAAAGGTATCCAATGATAAGTCTTTTCGTAATATTAATAAAAAGGGATTTGGAAAAAATTCAACTAAAGTTTTGTAACTGAATGAACTGACAATAATTTAAACACTAATTATATAAATCTAAAAAGACAGTACTTCTGTAAAAATAAAACAAGAAATTAAGATGGTTTTGATGTATTTTTAAAAGATAATACTTAGCAATATTCTTACACCAAAGCTAATTTGCGCCCAGCTTTGAATATTTGTTCATCTTTTTAACCAGAAATGTTAGATTTTGAGTATTTATTTCCAGACGAGTATTATTCTGTAATGCCATGACTTAAACAAAAAAATTCTTAACTCAGTGTCCACTTATAAGCTTTTTACCTGAGCACATTTTCTCAAACTCATGTGCTTCTTGCTTGCTCTTCTCTCCAGGGTGATAGGGGTTTACCAGGAAGTTCAGGAATCGTCGGACAGCAGGGAAGGCCGGTGAGTTTGCAGCAGTGAAGGGGAAGTCTGTTTGTTATTATCAGACTGTTTAACACAGTAATCACTGTTTAACATTTCCTTTAACATTTGCCTTCTTCTTCTCCTCCTCCTTTATTTCTCCTTTCTAGGGTCCACCCGGTCTGCCAGGATCAAAGGTAAGTGTGTTGTCAAGGATTACCGCATTCATCTTTATTTAACTGTTTTGTTATTGGTACAAAGAGTTTTATATATTTCCAATCGAAGTTCGATCTTCACCCAACTTTAAAATACTTTTGTGTGTCAAAAGAACAACATATTAATAGGAATAAAATTAAATTGATTTCAGTAGTTGAGTAAATAAAAAGTGCAAGAAATGTTCAAATAAAAGAATACAAGGTTTCAAAAAGCCAAAGTGTATTATTATTCCAGTGTTGAACCCAGGATAAACACCAAAGGTAGAAAAGCTAGCCCACAATATTATTGTATGTATGATGTTCATTTAAAAACTAGCATACAATGAAAGCTGTGTTACCTAATCATTGTCTTGGCTGTTCAAAAGTAGCATTAGCAACAGTAATTTACCAAACACACTTATTCTATTTTCAAGGCTTAGTATTGGATTGGATTATATCCTACTTCACCCTATTAGGCTCAAGAAAGTGTTTCATGTTTAAAACTGTGCAACTTGTTCAGTCAGTCAGAGTTTACCCAGGCAGACATTATTGTAAAAGTGAGCTTTGAAAACACAACAAACGGATACAAGCTGCTCATTTTGTGTGATCTGAGTAGACGTTTCAATGACTTTCCTATAATAGAAAACTGTCCGGTTGTATTTTTGTGTTTTGCCACAAGATGGTGCTGTTTAATTGTGGGACCATTCTCCTGAAACAGTGTCTGATATTTTGAAATAACAAACCTCAAAGAAACAGCAGATGCTTCTTTGCCTCTTACCACTGACATTTCATGTCTAACAGTTTCCTCTGGTCGTGTTTTCCTCCTCTACAGGGAGACCCAGGTGATGTGATCTCCACCAATCGTTTTGGAGAGAAAGGAGCAGTGGGATTGCCCGGGCTGCCAGGAGTTCCTGTGAGTTTTTGTGCATTTTAACCTTTGCTCAAACCCACTTTATATATTTTATTTTAAGTTCCAGTGGAGATCTAGTGGCAAAGTTTCCAATGACACCGAATAAATCAGGCAGAATTTTAGGGTAAAATGAGCAAATCTAAAATAATACTATTCCTAATACTCTTTTGTGATGGTGATGCCATAAAAACATTTTGGGTTTGAATATTTCACATTGTAAACATCATATAGCATCATGTTACTGAAGAGCTGGACCAAACTGATACAGAATATGTGAGGCTGTCAGAGAGAGTCCAAAAAGAGGATTATTCCAACCTTAAAGCCACAAAAGGGGGAAACAGACAGCAGAAAGCTGTATATTGAAGGGTTATGTTGATAGACTGACGCACATTATTTAAATTTGATCATTTATATATTGAAATATTATAAATACATACATAAATACATCATGACCAAAGTACGTATTTTAACATCTAATATCTGAATATCACTCAATATTTGGTCCAATATCACAAATCCAATATTAACAGGATAAAAACTCTATGTTTGTGTGTATAACTTTTTTTATATGTGTTAATGATCACAGGGCTCTCAGGGACCTCCCGGTTTGCAAGGTCCACTGGGTCCTCCAGGACCCAGAGGTTACGAGGTAAATAAGGCTGCCCCAAAACATCATATCACCGTGGACAATTTGTATTTTATGTATATTTCCATTGCAGTTGAATGACGTTTAGTCCAACAATATTGTTTTCTGGTGTCATTTTCCAGGGTCGTCCAGGTCCTCCCGGTCCTCCTGGTCCAAAGGTGAGTTCAAATGCTGACAAATCAATAGAGAATTGGTTGGATTTTGTTGTTTTTTTCATCAAAACAAACAGCAAAGATGAGATGATCGTGCAAGTAATTAAGTAATTTCCCCCTGGGATTATTAAAGCATTTCTGATTCTGATTCTGATTTGTCCTTTTCTTATCCCGTTGACAATCAAGTATCCTAAAACTGAGTGCTTGTTGTTTGGTAATTTCATGTTCCTTTGCTTCCTCCAACAGGGAAACATGGGATTGAACTTCCAAGGACCCAAAGGAGAGAAGGTATTTATTGTGTTAGCAGTGAAAATTGTCATTGTTTCACTGTCATCATCTACCACTAAAACGAAGCCCAAAGAATAAAAAGTGCCGTCTTGTATCTTCATACTGCTCTGTCTCTGTCTCTCTCTGTCCATCCTGTTCTTTGCTCCAATTTCAACCCTTAAACTCATCTGGTGTGTGTCTGTGTGTGAACACAGGGTGATCCAGGTTTGCCAGGACCTCCTGGTCCTCCGGGACAAGTTGGAGAACAGAAGAGCCCACCTGAGACAGAGATTCAGAGAGGAGACAAGGTAAAACTACAAACCTAGCACTGAGAGTGACGCCAATTTTGAATTAAATACACCAAGCATTTAAAAAAAAGCTACGTTAAATAGCTGTAAGGTAACGAAATACACTCCAACTGCTGCTGAACTGAAAGAAAAACAAACGTAAAATAACATGTTTACATTAGGGCACATTAGGTATTATGTATATGAATAAATATAATAATTTATGTATGTGCAAATTTAAAAATTGACTCAATTGTATGAACTGCTGGATGCTGCAACTTTCTCTTTAGCCACTTGATGGCAGCAGATTATCTTAGTATATTCACAGACACTTCTTGAGATATTTCTTTACTTTGTTTTGCTTATATTTTCACTTTAGTGAGTATTGGACAATGTACAAAGGCTGTCAATGTATATCCCTGCAAAAATCACAATTTAAAGAAAGATGTTAAAGGCTGGAAATGGCTAGAAAGCCTAAAAACAGTATAGGAATTAGTCATCATAATCACTTTATAGATTTGGTGCATCCCTGTGTTCATATTTCTTTATGTTGTGGTTTTAAACATTTTGTACCCAGTACATTCCAATAGATAAGATGGGAAGGTCCCTGATTACTAAAAGAGCAACCATTAGCAACCAGTAAAGCTCAGACATCCATCACTGAAGGGCTTTTTTTTAATTGTTAGGTTGAAGCTTTGAACTTTCTTATCTGTGTTTTCTCTGTAGGGTGACCCCGGTCTTCCAGGTCCCAGGGGTGATTCAGGCTATCCAGGACCTCCTGTAAGTGTCTGCACCCACCTGTAAACTTCTACTTTGTAAAAAGAGCCTGTAGGCAAAATGCGCTACTGTAAGAAGAAAAACCATTCATGTTGTTGACGTGTGTTTTGTTGTCACTGTAGGGTCCCTCAGGTGGCCCGAAAGGAGACAAAGGAGAACCAGGAGAAGCAGGCAAACGAGTAAGTAAAGTTCACACATAAACTGATACACAAATGTACTTATTGTGAGGACCTTCGTTGAAATAATATTTTCCCTAACCTCAATTTAAACCATCACTTAATTTTTAACCCTTTCCTACAGCTAAACTTAATTCTAAAGGCCTCCATATGCTTCAAAGCACTTAAATCACTTATGAGCACTGGGGGGAGGTTTGCATCCAACAGTTTTCATAACTTTCATCTGACAGTGGTGCCCACTTTATTTGTTCTTCAAGATAGACTGTCAGAATCTGTGCGCCATTAAACCAATTTGTACAATTTGTGGCGTGAAATCGACAAAGATACTGAATTTTTAAGAGGATACGTTAACCTGACTGCTCCAGACGGTTTGTTACACAGACCCATCTGGGAAGTCATTGTAAGAAACTCGAAAAAGGGCCTGTACTTTCAAAAGCTACAGGCCAGGTGATCGGATGAACCATCTGTCGATCCCCGTGTATCATGGGCGAACAACAAATGAATGTAGTCAAACTCTTACCCAAGCCAGTCGGTAGAAGACCGAAAACAGATTTTCCATCGAACAAAGCCTTTAGTGTCGTTCTTTGCTCTTCTTTCACTGAAGAAATATTCTCCAGATCTGATGTAACTCAATTTAGCAGCATCTATGCTAACCACTTTAGTACCCGCGATTGGTCAGTCACTTCTCCGACACGTCGCCACACACACCTAGCGTTAAACTATCCCGTCATGCCATAACTGCCAATAGCTCCGCAACGGACGCTGATCTGATGCCACCTTTTGACGAAGTGAGGATGGGCACTTTCCATATACTCATTTGTATCTAAACTGGTCCTCACAAAGACAGCGGTATAAGGCCAGCTACACATATTAATACTTCACTGTTTAAAAAACAGAGCATACATTTCTGTCTGGACTTCTTCCTGATCACAGTTTTTCTTCTGTTTTACAGGGCAAACCAGGCAAAGATGGCGACCCTGGTTCTCTGGGTTTCCCCGTGAGTTCTTCCAACGAACTAGACACTTCATAACATTTAATGTTTCCCTGGAAAATTGTTTAGTCCTTTTTTTTTTTTTTTCAAATCTCTGATTCACGTGTCTTTTTCCTTGTTCAGGGAATCAAAGGAGAATCAGGCCTTCCAGGTCCTCCCGGCAGGGATGGAGAGAGAGTAGGTTTTCTCCAGCTTTTTTTAATCAATTTTAAAACTATATTCAATAAGTCATATGGTGATTTAATGAATTGTTATCATAGCTTTCCCCTATTCCTCTCTTTTTAGGGAATTAAAGGTGACATTGGATATCCAGGCCCACCGGGAGTGGTGTGTATATTACATTTTTTTCATTTGACAAAATAATCGAACTTATCCATTATGATCCACTTATAGTTTTTTGTGGAGCAGCATCTCACTGCCAGTAGATAGTTTGCTACATTGTCTTGGAGATATTTTTCCCATTACAATTCTGTTTTGCAAATTTGTATTCATGCTTGGGAAACCGTATTAAGGATGTTCTAAAAGAACTGTCCAAGTGCTATTGAGCAAGGCAACACAGTTACAATAGAAGACTCTAGCTGTACTGGCAGCTTCAGTCCTATGAATGTTTGTAGCCATAAAGTAAAAGTTTAAAAAGTTACAAAAAAGTACATGTGATGCACTACATTCTACTGACCACTGGGTGGAGACATTGCTCTCCATCTAACTTTTCTTGTCCTTCATATTATTTATTTATTTGACCGCCTACTAGCATTTCCTTTGGTGTCTAATAATGAACAAAATTGCACATTGGAAAAGACGTGCTCAGATCACTACATTCTTCTGACCACGACATTTTCATCTCTCATCTTGATTTAATTTCTTCCCTATATATATTAAAGTCATTAACATGTATTAATAATCATTATTGTTACTTTATTAAATGTATTAATGAAAACATCAAATCAATTTGTGCCAGTTGAGTTTATCCTTTTATTCTGAAATACATCTATTTCTGATTGTCCCTCCAGGTGTTAGGTAGACAGACAGGAAGTCAGGTTGGCCCTAAAGGTGAGCCCGGGTACCCCGGATCACCTGGACTTAAAGGAGACAGAGGACCAGCAGGTAAATACAAACAGACATATTATTTGCAATCAGGTTGTTTAATGCTAAATAGATAGATAGATAAATACTTTATTTATCCTGAGGGAAATTCAATGCCAAAGAACCACATTGCTAAGTGGCCAATGAGCAACCTTTGTCTAAATATATTGTGACTATAACATCGGAATTCCTTCGTGGCCATGCTTTTTTATTTTTTTCTTGAAAGGGTAGCAGATGGACTAGTTATCTTGATCAGATTAGCATAGCTGTAAGCTAGTGTGGTTATTTTGAACTTGGAGTGTGGGCACTACCGGCTGAGGTTTAATTAAGTCAATAAGATGTCTGGTCTGCTTTCTCCTCTTAATTTTATATACAAATTCTTGTCTTCTTCAGGTTTAACAGGACCTCCAGGAGCACCAGGACTTCCAGCTACTGGTGGTGGTGGTCAGCCTGGAGCTCCAGGCTTCCCAGGAGATAGAGGTCAAAAGGGAGACTCTGGCACTCCAGGGCTTTCTTTGCCAGGTCCCCCAGGACGTTCAGGGTCTCCTGGTGCCCAGGGTCCACCTGGGCTCCCTGGACCCCCAGGATTTTCCTCAGCAGGGCAAAACTGCATCGCCGGAGAGCCCGGACGTCCCGGCGTGCAGGGAGAGAGGGGTTACCCAGGAGAGACAGGCCAGAAAGGTGGGGGATGCTAGTACAAGAAGACTAGCCATTATTTGTATATTTGATGGCTAAATGTTCAGTATAACAGCTTGAATATATAAAATATAAAATACAACAGTAACATGTTCTGTAAGGTTTAAGATGAAATGTCATAACAAAAAAGTGGATTAAAATTAAGATAGTGAGTACTACCACACAGAAAACACTGACCCAGTGGTCTCTTGCTGTTTCAGGTGACAAGGGCGATACTTGTGTGAACTGCTTTGGCGGTAGCAATCCCATCCCAGGACCACCAGGACCTGCAGGACAACCCGGATTCCCTGGTAAGAACACATCCAAATTAGACATTAACACCTTTTAACTGGGGCTTGTGCAGGTTTAAGATGAAGGTTTAACAAGTGAGCAGGTGTTAATTGTTATGTTTATATATGTATATTTGATATATATGATTATAGTGATAATATTGTGTATTTTGGCCAAAATAATCATGATAATGATTACATTTTTATATCAACCCATGTATACTCTGGGTGCTCACATCATTGTAGTTATTGTTCTCACGGCCCTTTACTCATGCGGAGTTCATTATTTTTCTGTAACAACCTCTTGTTCTTGTAGTTATTTTTGTCTTTAATGTAAAGCGATTCGGCGGTGTGGTCATTTAATATATAAATTAGACAGAACTTTGGAAGAAAGCAGGTAGTTGAAAGTTTATACTTGGCTGTCAAACTGTCATTCACTCTGAGCAATTTAAATCTATAGTGGATTATTGTGTCACTGTTACTGTATTTGTAACTCCTTTCTTCTCCTCCATCAGGATCTCCTGGCAGCGAAGGTATCAAAGGAGACAGAGGATTTCCAGGAACACCTGGTGGCATTGGACTCCCTGTGAGTACTTTTTACTTTCCCATAAACAACACATATCATCTTTTAACAGATAAACCTGACATACAAATTGTAAACTGGGGGTTTTGGACTTTGGATGATGTCCTGGATGATATCTCAATCATTTTGTTTTTGTATCTCTCTAAGGACTAAAATACTTGCTGATATCAACTGGTATTTTACATGACTGACCAGGAGTCAGAGTTTGATTGAGCTCATTGAACTTAATCTTCTAATCTTTGTTTCCTTTCCAGGGTCCCAGTGGTCCCCAAGGTGTTCCAGGATACCCCGGAGAGAAGGGAGACCGAGGCGATGCCATTACAGTCGACGGTGTTAGGGGCGAGAAGGGCGACACCGGCTTCCCCGGATCACCTGGTCTGCCCGGCCTGGACGGTCGACCCGGTCGCGATGGACAGCCTGGATCTCCTGGACCCAAAGGAGCTTCTGTAGGTGGCTTTCTCTCAGTCTGTCCATCTATTAGATTGATCGGCCCATCCATGATTCATAACTAATATGTGTTCGACAGGGCTCTCTGCAAGTGAAAGGCGAACGAGGGGTCCCCGGTGAGCCAGGTTCCCCAGGTATTCCAGGAGACAGGGGTCCCCCAGGACCCCCTGGCTTTGGACCTCAGGGGCCTAAAGGAGATAAAGGTGTCCAAGGCGTTTCAGGAAGACCTGGAGGTCCCGGCGGACCTGGTAAGAAAATTAAAAGAATAAGATACCCATTGCTAATATATGATAAAAACAATAATAATAATAAAATTTATGAGACATGATGGAAATAAGTAAATAGTAATAAGTAAAAACTAGAATGAACAAAGTACTGGCACACCGTCTTTTATCTGCTCACTGACGCCATCCATCTCTCTCCATGCAGGAACTAAAGGTGAACCAGGCCTGTCAGTAGCCGAGAAAGGCTTACCAGGACCCAGAGGACAGGATGGCTCACCAGGACTTCCCGGCTCTCCAGGTACACAAGTGTTATTTTACAGAAAAGGACTTTTTTATCACGCAGTGCTCACTCAATCTGAATTTGGTGTGATTGTATTTTTGTTTTATAATTTTCTGTTGTCAGGTAACCCAGGACAGCCTGGACAGAATGGTTTCCCTGGTTTACCAGGATCGAAGGGTGAACCTGGACTCCCTGGCATTGGACTCCCAGGACCCCCAGGAGCTAAAGGTAAAGACAAACTAACATATCTACCTTCTCCCATCATCCTCTTCTTCCTACCTTGACCTTCACATCCTCTTTTTAGTACGTCTTATGCCTTCCCCTCATGCTTACCTACCTTGTATCACATTTTTACCTCCCTCCTCCACCCTCACCCTCTGTTCTTTCTCCCCTGCAGGATTCCCAGGTATCCCCGGCCAGCCAGGAGCTCCTGCAGGACCAGGCAGACCAGGAGTAGATGGACTCCCTGGCCAGCCTGGATTTCCTGGACCCAAGGTAGGTTGATAGATTGATAGATTGACAAAGTACTTTATTAAAGGTTTGGGTTAAGGTTGTAAAACCTTTCATATTATTAAATCTTGCATTAGAAACTGAACTAAATGTATGACGATACTCTTAACTCTAAATATATACAATTAAGGTACAACCAGACTCATTTTTTTTCATGAAAAGAAAAGATCTTTTGTATCCGTCTACAGTGTAGACATATCACAACATCCAGGTAAAGATTAGTGTACACTAATATTTATCTGGATGTTGTGATATTTTTGATTACCATGGAGATGCTAACCAGTCTACAGTAAACAAGGTCCTCTTCTGATGAGCACAGCATAGACAATCTTCCAGTAAAATAATGAATGAGCTGCCCCACTAATTACAAATACAAGATGTGGTTAGACTGCAGAGTGGATGCATTGGAAATGTTAGATTTGCATTTAATTCATGTTTTCCTGTTCTAGAATATCTATCACATAGTACCTTATATACTATAGCCTGCCTGAATGACTGAAACATATTGTTCCATTTGTGTGTGTGTGTGACAGGGTGAGCCTGGTTTTGGCCTTCCTGGTCCCCCCGGTTTACCAGGAGTACCCGGAGGTAAAGGGTTCCCAGGACCAAAGGGAGATCCTGGTTTCCCTGGCGGTCCTGGTTCACCTGGACGATCTGGATTCGATGGCACACCAGGACCAAAAGGTATTCTGCAGTTCTATCACTGATTTTTTCTGCGATGGATATTTGTGTGAGTGTGATAGAGTACTAATGTGAACCAAACTGACAGTGACTTTCTCATCTCTCTCTGTCCAGGTGACCCCGGTTTATCTGGTATACCTGGAGCTCGTGGCCCACCTGGATCCCCCAGCCTCGGCTCACTGGGGGCACCTGGCTCACCTGGACCGCCTGGCCCAATGGGTCCACCAGGTGAGAAAAATAAGGCTGTATTTCCTGCATTCTCAAAATTAAGATACGACTGTTGCAAGCCCGACTATCAGTCATCATTATCGCTGTGTTGAATGAAACACATCTACAGTACAGCGATTACCACGTACATCAGGTTTAGAAGGAGCTTGTTTTCAGTAGCAAGATTTGTTCTTCATTTTGTACTGTATTTGTGCATGTTTTTACATGCGCACTATTTTGAAATACTTGTTACTTTTTTAGTCACCCAGGACTGTGCATGACCACTCCGTGTCTATGTTTTGAGCTTGTAAAGGTGTCTGGATGTCTTTTGGGTACAGGGGTTCAAACTATATACTGTGCACTTTCCATGGAGCACCCGAGAGCACCCGAGCACCCGACTGAGGGTTTGTCTGGTTGATTGAAATGCAGAGTCACCCTTTTGGTGGGTGATCAAGGTGTATGTACAGATTGAATGAGTTTGAATATGTATCACGGTTACCACACTACTGGATGGCAACCATACCTTGATCTGGGGAACTAAAAGTGGAGAACTTCTCCTCACATCTACATCTTGTCTTCGCTTTCATCTGAGTGCAGCTTCTTTCCTCTTTTGTTTTTAAGACACCACCGAAAATGTCACAGCTCTCTCGCCCCTTTCTTGGCTGTATCACTTTGTTTGTACAGCTTCTGTATCACAGAGCAACACAGGTCAGGCTTCACCATTTTAACATCACTGAAGGCTCTTACTTTGCGAGCACACCAGTCGTAATCTCAAAGAGTTTTCGGTTCACCAGTAATTGCGTCAGCCTCTTCTCTCTTCGTGGCACCTCACCCCTTTAATCCCACGCCGCTCTTCCTTCGAATGTACGCAAAAACCACAAACTAACCCACATCCAATAAGATCTTCTAATACTCTGAGCATCCGTCGGTTGCTGCTGGACACGTGTAGTGCATATTCAGAGTGTTGGAAAAACCGGCTTCATATAGATGTTTTAATGCATTTAATGCATTATAATCTGTTCTCCTCATCTCATCTTCGGCTTAATCCAACGCTCCACCCTCTGCACTTTGAAACACGCCACTCCCTTACCTGTGACGTTCTGATGCCAAGGCGAGAAAGGTATTGTAACCCAATACTGGTGCTGGTTGATGGCCATTTAATGGTCAGGCATGTCACTTGCGACCATGTATGATTATGTTATTTTTTTCAAATACACAGTAAAAGTGTCATTTGAGATATTAAGACTCCATGTGTTTTGTGTGAATGGATTTTATTTTGTGTTCGCGTGCATCTAATTTTAGTGTTAGCTCATCACAAGGGGAATAAATTCCAGACAGCATTCAGTAAAAAAAAATCTGTATCTAAACAATGAAACCTTGATATCATCGTTACAGGATTCCCTGGATCAAACGGAGAGAAGGGAGACCCCGGCCCTCCAGGTCTAGACATCCCAGGTCTGCCCGGAGACAGAGGAAGTCCTGGTTTCCCAGGTTCCCCAGGATCAGTCGGTACACCAGGACCTCCTGGAGGACCTGGACGGGATGGCCTGCCTGGACTTCCAGGTAAAATATAACGCTAACGTCACTAATCTAATCTGCACCTGCGTCTAACTGCAGCAGATGGTTTGTAACACAGACCTATATAGGAAGTCATCAATGGAAACTGTTTGCAAAAGTGCAAGACCTTTCAGAAATTACTTGGCAGGGGATATGAACCATCTGACTATCACTGTCTTTCACGTGTGAACTTGAACTTCTCAGATGAACGAACCATATGACGTAGTCTAACTCTTAACTCTTAACTGCTTGCAAGGTTCTCAGTAATCTATTGTCATGACTTGGTATAGTAAATGTAAATACACTACAGACTGGCTAATGATGTAACTGGCTCAGTGAGTTCTGCCTCCTCTGTAAACCAGACAATGTTTGTTTTATTCAAAACCGTTAAGCATAAAAGTGTCTCTTAAAAGCTCTTAAAAGTTGGATAAAGGGAGGTTTGGTACTGGTGTTCTTCCTATACTGCCCGCTTTGCATGAGTGCAGCTTTAGCCACATACTGTATGGGAGCTGTAGTTGTTAAATACTAGTAAAATATAACAAATGAGGAGGTCTTCAAATGTTACTATTCAGTGCAGCAGTAACATTAGGTACACATTTAGTGTAAAATACAAACAGAAATAGTTTCTGCTCTAACTTTTCTCTGCTCCTCATGTCTGACTGGCTGCAGGTCAGAAAGGAGACATGGGTTCCATGGGATCTCCAGGACCCTCTGGAGGACCAGGAGGCCCAGGAGGGCCTGGTGCTACCGGACTTAAAGGTATTCACATAAACACACACACTCCATACCTCATGCATAACTCTTGCATACAGATATCACATACAGTACATCCTAAGTTATGTTCAGCATTAATAGTGTGTCTGTAAACACTGGTAAAAGGTATAATTCATGATATTTTAATATATGTAATTGTCTGTTTTGTTACTTCTGTTGTTGATATAACAACATTTAGTGACAGAAAGTGCAGTGCAGAGACAAAACAACAATGAGCAATGACGCCTAAGAAACAAAGGACATTGCTGATGGCCGTGCTAAATATCTCTGATTCCCATGTTCTCCTGTCCAGGTGAACCTGGATTCCCAGGCAGAGACGGTTCACCAGGCGGTCCCGGTGCTAAAGGAGAGAGAGGCGAGACCGGTCTCCAAGGACCTCCAGGAAACAGCCAGCCACCATCAGTCTTAAAGGGAGCCAAAGGAGATCCTGGACTACCAGGTATAGCTGAAATACTCCTCTCAACAATGATTGTCATTTTGTCTTCAGTCTTAAGATCCTATATTTCTCAGAAAATATGAGAGTATATGAAAGATTAATGACAAAATATAACACATCATATCTTTGATTTTTGTGTGTATTCTACAGGTGCACCAGGTGGTCCAGGTCAGAAAGGCGTCCCTGGTCTCGCTGGTGATCCTGGGCTTCCAGGATCAGATGGACGCCCTGGACTCCCCGGACCACCAGGTATGGGTTTACCTCCAAAAACATACACAAAAGCATACTGTACATAAATATACGCTTTATATTTCTGACATGTTTCAATTGTGCTGCAGGTCCTAAGGGTGATTCTGGCATCCCAGGAGGCCCTGGTGTTCCTGGAGGTCCAGGACCAAAAGGCAGCATGGGAGAAATGGGATTCCCAGGTGGGTTCGACTGTCACATCTATCAAGTCTTTGTTTTCCAGTTCTTGGTGACTTATTGAAAGCTTTTCCCAAATTTCTTCCAAAATCAGGATTAAATATTGAAATACTTACTTGCTTTTCATTCCACTTTTTTTCTCCTTCATCTTGTAGCCATAGTTACCAATTACCTTTAATGAAAACAACACCTCATAATTACTAATGGACCGAACATGATAACATTGGTCTGGATGTTGGCTATTACGTGTGCCTTTTAGTCGACATAAGCGACTAAAACAACGCCTGATTTCTTTGATGATGTGATAGGACCATCAGGACAGAAGGGTACACCAGGTCAGTCAGGTAGGCCTGGAACCCCAGGACAGCCAGGTGGACCTGGTTTCCCTGGATCCAAAGGTGAACCAGGCTCTGCTGGAGTTGGACCACCCGGACAATCCGGATCCAAGGTACAGGACACAACCACTGAAATTTCCTACTTCAAAGGGCAAATTTAGGTTCACATCTAACCTTATTTATGTCTCTCATAGGGTGAACCAGGGCAGCCAGGATTCCCAGGAAGTCCCGGACTGAAAGGAACTCCAGGATCATCCGGTCTCCCAGGTTTACCTGGAGGGCCCGGTGCCAAAGGCGACCCCGGACTGCCAGGATTTCAAGGTAAATCTGCTGTTCGACTATAGCAGGTTCAGGAAAGACCCTCAGCGGTAATAAAAGCAGGTGACATAGGTGAAGTACAAATATGATGTTATCTACATATACTATTAAACCATTGACATTACCAAACATTACAAACAACAGACATTACCTAGCTAACTTGAATTAAAAGATGTGACTGTCTATATATATAGATCCATTTGATCTAAAGCACATAGTTTTCAATGGAAATGAACTGTACTGAGAGCTTAGTGTGGCCTCCGCAGTCAGAGCACCGAACATCAGACGCTGATTCTTTACAGATTTTTAATTATCGCTGAACTTCCAGTTTTTTTATATATATTAAAGAGGCTGCTAGTTAAAACAAAGCAACCGTCACTGACACGTTGTCCATCTCTGCTGTTAGGTTCTCCTGGTGTGCCCGGTCCTAAGGGTCTTGATGGTGGCCCTGGTGCCCCAGGTCTAACTGGAGCTCCCGGTAGACCAGGAGAGTCTGGCCGGCCAGGTGGACCAGGGTTGCCAGGAGAGAAGGGTCAGGCAGGTCGGGACGGGATCCCAGGACCAGCTGGAGTCAAAGGAGAGCCAGGTAAGTCCCGTCTCAACAGAAATGACTTTACTGTATATCCAAAGTTGCCAACATGTGTTTGGTTGATGTTTGCTTGACATAGTTTTGTTTACATTTCAATCAATTCACTTCTGATTAATTTCTTCTCCAGGTCTTCCTGGTTACGGTGGTCCCGGTCCATCTGGGCTTCCAGGGTTGCCAGGTGAGTGACCACCCACATTTTGTTTGTTGTTGTTATTTTCTCCACACTAATATACATATATAATATACTAATCTCTACTTTATCTCTCCCTCTGCGGTAAGGTTCAAAGGGAGACCCAGGTCTTCCCGGCCAACCTGGCAGTCCCGGTTTCCCTGGCTCTAAAGGAGATGCTGGTTTCCCCGGCTCTCCTGGTCCCTCAGGCAACACTGGCCCTCCTGGGTCCCCAGGACTGGGTCTGCAAGGCCCCAAAGGACTCCAAGGACCCCCTGGACCACCAGGAAGATCAGGTAAAGCACTTGGATTTAATATTTGCCACCACATGTCCTGCCAGAAATTGCTGCCTGGTTTTCTGATAGACTCCTTCAGACCTAGATTGAATGATGGTTTGTTTTACTCCCCTACAGTACCAGATGGGTGGGGTTTATTGTGTAGGGCATCTAATATTATAGGTTAGGGATTAAGTTGATGATCCCAATGCAATAACCCCCATTCAACTGATCTCCAAGTAGGATAAAGAAAATACAACCAGCTCTTCCTCACTGAAAATATGAACCACCTTTGTCAAGTCCAATACCTGGACTAGTCGAGACAGAGTCAAGTCTGAGTCCAAATGAGAGAGACAGAGACTAAATGCTTACACTGATTGCAAGTGACATTGATTGCCAACCTGGTAACCATGGTTGCTAGGCATTGACACTGTCAGTGCCTGTTCTAGATAAATTTTGAATTAAAGTAATAGGTTAAGTTACTTTGGAAAAGGAAAACTAGAATATTTGAAAGGTCCAAACTGAAGGAACGGCACAGATGAATTTTGGATATTGTGAATCGAGGTCATTGATTTCACCTAACCAGCGAAAACCAGACAGCAAAGGGCAGAACCTGAACTTTAAAATGTGAATGCTTCCATCTCCATGTCAACTGATTTGCATGGGACGTTGTCGTACCAATCGCCACCAATGGCGTAAGAGCCAATTCACTGTTTGAGCACCACCTGTCCAGTCATTGTCAACATCACTGAGCAGGGATGATAAGAGTTTGCCGTGCACACTCCTCCACTTCACCCCCCCCATCCCTTTTCTCCAGGAAATGTTGGGGTCACCTGGGTTTGACCACCAAAAAGAGCATGTGTTTTCCTGCCACTTTGTTGTGTTTCATCATCCAGTTTTTCTTCTTTTTTATATCCACCAATCCATCCCCCCTCATGTCTCCTCACCCCCTTACCCTCTTCTCCTGATCCCATAATGGGGGAAGTTGTAATCATCCATCTCTCCACAGCTCTGAAGTATGTGTGTATGTATGCTTGCTTTTCCCTCTGGCCATTGTGATAATGCGTGTCCATGTGTTTGTGGTTGTGTTAAATCCTGTTGAAGAAATATTGGTGTAAAACAGCAGAGCCTTGGACAAACTAAAAAAAACTCTCAACTGCAGCTTAAAAGAGTTCAAGATGTTTTGGTTTATTGAATTTAATGGGATTCAGTTACAGTTTTGTTAGTTACAATTAAAAATCACCTGAAAACCTGGCTTCAAATCCTCAGTATTATTTATCAAGAGTTTAAAACTCTATTCTGGGGTCTAGTTGAGAGTGTTGAGGGGTTTGTCATCATTCGGCTCTGCTGTTCTGAGTGTGTTTCTTCCCACCAATCAATCATCTGCATGGGCACTGTTCGTCCCAACACACACTTGAACATACATATTGAGAGCAAACCTAACACATTGCTGGAAAGAGTGGACAACCCTGACACATGCCGCAGGAAAATGCACAGGGTATGATATAAGCAACCAGTGCAGTTTAGTATCATTGCTGTACTGTGAAAACCACACCTCATCAAGTAACCCTATCCTTAAGGTTAACCTTAACCTTATAAGTCTTTATCCTTCAGTTTATCTCGAATATTTAAAAATCCCCAAATTTGGAAATGCATACAGTAAGTTTGGGTAATTTTTTATGTCCAGTGTGTCATTAAATTGACTCCACATTCACATGGTTGTATAAGGATAGATTGTTATGCTAAAATCATTAGATTTCTGTTATGACACAGCTGTTGGAGCCTTTAAAGAGCCTAAAAAAAACATTTAAATAAATTAGGCTGATGTGCAGGATTTAGAGATAACTTGAACACACTAGAAGCCTCAGTAAAGTCTAGTGTCATATTCAATCATAATATTGTGTCCTTTTTAAACGTAAATGTCAGCACTGACCACACACCAGCACTGTGTTAGGCTTTTAATGGTTTTTATGGTGTTGAGGTGACAAAATGAAGCTATGACATTTTACCCCCTGTTTCCTGTGGCTTGGCCCCACCCATTGTGGTGTGGCCCCGCCTCTACATGTGATGACACGTGCATCCGACTGCCGCAGGTCCCTCAGGTCAGATCAACGGCGTCCAGACTTTGCACGTTCCTTACAGTACCACCAACTGAGTTTGACACCACTTTCTGATCTAGCGGGAACAAATTTCACCTGAACACTGTTGGGAAATCACTGCATTTTTCTCATTTCTGACTCTTTAATTCTTCCTAATCATTGTCTTCTTTCACTTTCTATGCACACTGATGGTAGAATAATACACCTTTTAACAAGTAAGCACCTTTTTTAAAAGAAAAAAAATTTTCATAATTAAAAAAGAAATAACTCACCGTAGTTTTCTGGCACAATTAGCATGTTATCTGGATAATGTGTCAAATACAAATCTAACATGCAGAATGTGTTATGCATAGAAAATCATACAGTTTGTGCACAAAAACACACCGTATAACTAACTCGCCTGAAACATTAAATCATTGTTTTAATTATGACAGTGTATACTATAGTTACAGTTCTTTTGAATTTTACTGAAATTTGTTTGTATAGAAGCATCAAAATATTTTGAAGACTATTATAATTTTAACATAATGTAGCATAAAGGTTTTGTTATAGCGACCAACAGTATCTCCCAAATCCTTACATTTCCTCCCAACACGCTCTCCTGAGCCCCCTGATGGTCACACAGTATAAAAACAAGACAGCGAGTCTACAGCCATGCTTGCTGTTTTTATGAGACTGTATTTAGGAACAGCAGGGATTTGAATTGCTATCATGCTAAATGCTACATGTGTAATATGTACCATGTTAGTTAACTTGTTAGCATGCTAATATTTGCTTTAAAATGACAATTTTGCAATCACGCGGTAGACATTGGTAGTAGTTAGCCTACCAAGATGCCCCAGCGAGACACATTATATTTCAAAAAATCGTCAGCAGTGGGATTGGAGCAGTTTTTCAGATTTGGGAGTGCGTTTGGGTCATCTATGAGGTAAAACAAACAAACAGTAGTGTGCAGTGGAGCTTCTGAAGTCATTTGTGCAGCAGCCTTTTTGGTTAACACCTCCTGGCTACATAAAGACAAAATATTTCCGGTTTGTCTGACTGTGTTTCTGTACTGATGCTTGCTTCTGTCTAAACCTCCTTTTCTTTTTGCCCTGTGCCGTCAACCCGGCTCCGCTTTCCCTGGGAATTCTGGGAACCCTAGGTCCTCCAGGTTAGACTCCAGTGGTTTGATGGTTTTGATACATGCTCTTAAATGGGGTTTGTGGGGAAGGGCGATGTTTGAAGCGGGTTTTAATGTATCTTGTGCTCATTTTAACCTCTCTTTACCCCATAGGACATGATGGACACTGCTCATTATCACCTCTAACACATACAGAAAGCATATACCCCAGTTGTATTACTTTTGTACAAATGAAGAGTTTCATTCTGATGTTATCTCAGAATTTTGAAGGAACAAAATTGTGTTGTGGTTTTCATTTTCTTGCCTTTTTCCCCTTCTCTTTTCTATTTCGGACAAGTTCCTCCGATGTAAAGCTGCTCTGAAGGAAACAAATTATCTCATGGCTGGATTTAAAGCTGTGTGCAGAGCTAGTGTGCAAAGATAGTTTGCAAATTTGTAAAATTGAATACCAAAGAATGAACTCTGGTCAACTGCAGCTTTGCCTCTGAGAAATTGTATGTAAAAGACATAAATGAAGGGCTCAAAATGGCTAGTAGCATCAGAATAAATATGAAGGCATTTATCAGCCAGATATGTAAAATGTGGGAATGAAACTCATCAGTTTTGTGTTGCAAAGGGTTCCATGAATGAATGGAATTATTCTGCTATGTAGCGTAAAACAACGTAGATATTCCTTTTTGTGTTCATTATTTTAGTAGTAATTTTAATAGTAAGTGCAGGTGATTTGTACAGGCTGGACAAATATATAATATGCAGATGACTTGCTGCTGTATTTGTCTGCTGCTGAGTCTGGGTCAGTTTAGTTTCCATTTATACTGTTAAAAATGTAACCAGTTAAAGGTTATTAAGCTAAATTTAGAAAAGCCAAGAATGTCAACCACTAGATGGCAACAAAAGGTCTTGTGAACTTTTTTTTTATAGTAAACAAATTCTTAAATAATATTCCACTTTTTCATTGATAAATAGAAACCAAACGGATCACAACCCTGGTGGGAATATAATGAAAAGAAACTTGTCCAACCATATTTGGTGTACATGTTTTTTCTCTCATCATTCTGTACCTGATCTTTGACTTTTGATGTTTGTGTATGAAGGTGGACCTGGCCCACAGGGTCCCCGTGGGCCTGCAGGAAGCGGCGGCTTTAAGGGAGAGAAGGGTATTCCTGGCTCCCCAGGCCAACCAGGCTTCCCCGGACAGAAGGGAGATCCTGGAACTTCCGGCTTCCCGGTAATTTTGCTACATTTGATAAATTTGGTCTCTTAAACTTGAAGAATCTAAGAAAACCTAAGCTAAAGAATCTCTACCTTAAACTTTTGTTGGGATAATGATTAAATGTGAGCGTCAACTGAGATGTAACTGTCTGGACCTCTTTCCTACCAGGGTCCCTCTGGTCTTCCCGGTGGTCCTGGTTCGAAGGGAGATATCGGCCTGCCTGGTGTTCCCGGATTCCCTGGTCAGTCCACAATACAGCATTTTTATTATTTTGCTATCCACAAATGCGTTTTGATCTTATGCATTGATCATAAGCAAAGTCCAAAGGTTTGTTTCATTTGTGTTTTTGCCAGGACCAAAGGGAGACTCAGGAATCCCCGGTGGCAGTGGCCTTCCTGGAGATCCTGGAAATGTTGGATCCCCTGGTGGGTTCATAAACACATTTAACTTTTTAGTCACAGTGTATAGTGAACTGAGCTACATTCAGTCATGAGACACGGGACCATCATATGCTGCAGCATAAATCTGCAGTCAGTATTTCCAGGTGTATTTCTAGTGTCTTAAAAGATAGAATTTCCTCTTGTTGGCACAAATATTCTGTTTAATTCAACACAAAAGATTGAGGTTTGCCTTTGAATTCAGTTTAAATTATTTCAAACTGATTATTTTCCTTTGTAACATTTCACCTCTAGGTCTTCCTGGTGACCCCGGTGTACCTCCGGCTCCCATTGTGGTGAAGGGAGAGCGAGGACCCCCTGGTCCTCAGGGCCTGCCTGGCGGTCGGGGATCCCCTGGTCTTCCTGGGCGTGACGGAGCTCCAGGTGAGTAAATGTGGAGTAAATGTTTTATACGTAAAGTATGGCCAGCATCAGATAACAAGAGAGGACTTTTCTCTCTCCCTGCTTTCAGGCCAACCTGGTAACCCTGGAGATGCTGGTCCAGAGGGTCCTCCTGGCTTCAGCGGTCCACCTGGCAGGAAAGGAGACAGTGGACCAGCCGGTCAGCCTGGTGAGTGAAACAGGAATCAGACATCGTAACTCACATGGCTCAGCCCTGCATCCGCACCGGTTTTCACCATCAAGCCAAAAAATAAACATAAGCGATGCTTTTTATGTGACATAAGGCTGATTTTGGTGATCACCTAATGTTTGAGCTTATCCTCTTGCCTTAAGTTGGCCTAATAGTATTTACATAATACAACATACTGTGTGTGTAACTGAGTAAAAAAGCAACAAAGATATGAGGCAAACAACATATATATAGTTGAAATCTATGGTATAATGTTTCACTTTTCACTACAGAGAAAAGGAAATATGCATTGTTTTGCACAGTTTATACCCTGCCTCAGATATAAAAAAGGATTCTTTTGTCTGCGAAATAAAGAAATCTTTTTCATAAATTGTGAGGAAATCATAACGTGAATGCAGTCGTGTGAATTATATCAAATCGTGAATCGAGTCTATCGATACATCCTTACTTTCCCCCGATTCTAGGTCAGCGTGGCTTCACTGGTCCCCCTGGTTCAGACGGTCCACAGGGTCCTCCTGGTCTTCCAGGATCAGTGGCTGCAGCCCATGGCTTCCTCATCACCAGACACAGCCAGGCTCAGGATGTGCCCTTCTGTCCCGAAGGAACCAACCTCATCTACGACGGCTACTCCCTGCTGTATGTGCAGGGTAACGAGAGGGCGCACGGACAGGATCTCGGTACGAAGGATTTTGGTTTCACTATTTCTATGTGATAGTTGCATTAAACCTTAAAGATTTATGTTACAACCTTATTCAATCAAAATCACCTCATATCTTTGCCCTTCTTCTTCCCTTGGGTTCCAGGCTCGGCCGGCAGCTGTCTGCGCAGGTTCAGCACTATGCCCTTCATGTTCTGCAACATCAACAACGTCTGCAACTTCGCCTCCCGCAACGACTACTCCTACTGGCTGTCCACGCCTGAGCCCATGTCCATGACCATGGCCCCCATCACTGGAGAGGGCATCAAGCCTTACATCAGCAGGTAGGGACGGAGAGAGAGAACTACGAGAAAGAGAAATGTGGGAAGATGCGAGGTGTTTCATTTTACATTTCTGTGTGTGTCTAGGTGTGCAGTGTGTGAAGCTCCAGCCATGGTGATTGCAGTCCACAGTCAAACAATCCAGATTCCCACTTGCCCTGCAAGGTGGGAAGCTCTGTGGATAGGATACTCCTTCATGATGGTAGGACATTACACCTATACACACCAACATGTTTGTACCATCGACATATCAAAGATGGATGTCAGGTCTTCTCTTCTTCCCACTTTATAAAAATGAAGCCAAAATATCCCGGATATGGCCACTTTAAGGCTTCAAATAACTAATTAAAACCAAACTTATCAGAAAAATTAACACTTGAACGTACGTCAGTGTGATAAGAACTACCTGAAATTAAGATGTATTTGAATTTTTTAGTCTGGCCAATCTGCTAAAATGGAGGCAGCGGGTTTTATGACCTATACTGCAGCTGTCATGTCGTCCATCTTTATATATGTTGATAGTTTGTACCTCTGTTTACAAAATGTATTCTCTAACCCCTCAACTTGACAGTAGCCATCACAACTTCATCCTTTTTTTGCAAAACCTTGTAACATTGCACATTTACAGTTATCCATTCTAGTTATGTATCTACGCCCCTATTGTATATAATGTTTATATTTTTTAGATTTTAGATTTTTATTATATTTTTTCATTATATATTCTATATTTTTTATCCTTTTTTCTGGTCTTTGCACTACATTCCCCCTGTGCTGCTGTGCCAAAATTTTAATTTCTCCTACAAAAACAATAAAGGAAAATCTTCTTATCATCTTATCTAACCTTAACCAAATACTGGTTTAGCCATAAACCAACTTTCCCATTTCAAAAATGTCCTCTCTTTCAAGGTCTAAAACTCAAAGAGAGTCAAATCTTAGGAAAAGAGAATCTTGTTTATACCATGACACTCAAACTTTGAAGGTGAATGTAGGGTCTTCTATGCTGAACATATGTGTACCACTTCTCATTCTCATCTATGCAGTGCAACACATAACCAGTCTTCCCTCTCCTCCCCAGCACACTAGCGCAGGTGCGGAGGGCTCCGGTCAGGCCCTGGCCTCCCCCGGCTCCTGCTTGGAGGAGTTCCGCAGCGCTCCCTTCATTGAGTGCCACGGCAGAGGGACGTGCAACTACTATGGCAACTCCTACAGCTTCTGGCTGGCCACCGTAGAACCCTCTGAGATGTTCAGGTACGGCTCCACGTGCCAGCAGGCCGGTTTAGTGATCAGAGAAGCTATTGTATGGTAACAGGTCAGGTTCCTGAAGCCTAAACTGATTTTTTTTTTAGGCCAATACCGATTTTAGAGGTGGAAAAATCCACAGATGTGACCAACATTGACCCATTTTCTCTTTATTTGTTTGTCTGTTGTGCTAATGATGAATCTCATAGACAGGTGGCATTCGAGTTGTTATCCTACTCAGTAGCAAATTATGATTTTAGAAGTAGTGAAGAAGATTACATAGTGTAGTGGATACTTAAGTTAGAGTAGAAGTACCCAAAAAGATGACCTAATTAGAGTAACGTGAGAAGCTGTAATTCGTTACTTCCCCCCCTTGTTTCTCATGATTTGATATATCTCATAATATCTATATAGATTTTCACATATATCCAACTATCCTCTCACTATCTCACTCACTTTTACCCTTTGGCTCTTGCAGGAAGCCCCAGTCGGAGACTCTCAAGGCGGGAAACCTACGGACGCGCGTCAGCCGTTGCGTGGTCTGCATGAAGAAGACGTAACGGCACACGGCAACGAGCAAAGCCACTGTTGCCGGGGGACGCCTGATCCACAACAAGAGATGATTGAATGACGGGGGGACAAGTAGTAGGGGTGGTGGTCACAGCGACGGGTAGGCCGTCGTCGTGGCAACAAGGTGGAATTCCAATGGTGCATTGTCTTCCGGAAAAAAACAAAAAAGCAAAACTACAACTAAAACTTTGGTGCTACTGTGCAACACAGCTTAAAAAAAAAAAAAAGAAAGCAAAAACTGACATAAATAAATCTTACATTTAGTCTTTGTTTTTCTTAAGAAGTACCTCAAAATGAAAGCAGAAAAAATATCCACTAAATGGTGCCATGATTTTCATTTCTTTTCCCTTCTTTCCCAAAAGGATTCCTTTCTCTTTTTTAAAGAAAACACAAAAACAAAACTCACTTTTTTTTTTTTTTTTTTTTTTTGACAAAAATGTGACACTATAAATCCACTTTTTTTATTTCATTTGTTTTTGGGCCTTATTGATGAGGAGTGGATGGTCTCCATGGTTACCAAATCGGCACTTTGACTTCGGAACATCCAAGATGAGAGATGCACTGACGATGAGCTTTCCTTAGTGAGACTGCCTTTTTTTTTTTTTTTTTTTTTTACTAGCTCTTCATTCACACGCTCTTTCTCTCTCTTTTTCCGTCATTTTTCTGTCGTCTAACGTTACATTTGGTGGTACTAACGCTGCTGTAGCCCGCCTCCTAACCATCAGCCTACACCTTCTTACTTTTACTTCTTTTTTTTTTTGTAAGTAATTAAATGTGTATATTGTGTAAAACACCTTTTTGTTTTTGTTTTTAGTGTATTAGGTCCTGAATCTGTACCAGTTCTTTGTTATAAGACCATTTTCCAGGTTCTTTTTAGCTCACATACGCATGCGTTCTCACACACACACACACACACACACACACACACACACACACACACACACACACACACACACACACACACACTCATTCACATCATTGCTCACTGACACACATCGACTCAGATATTGTACAAAGTAAGGCTTTTATGAATGAAACAGTATTTTATATATAATAAATATATATTTGAAAAAAGAGGATAAAAGGTATATAAACTTTATTCGGCTGTGGGGAGATTGTTCACTGTTTTCAAACACAAACAAAGGTCAGGCATTTCACCGAAAAATAAAGCTAACTACTGAGCACAGACAGAGCCATTTTCCCTGAAACGCAACAGTCTTGTATGAAATTAACGATGCCAATCGCTTAAAACCTTTTTGTATTCAATTTGTAGAATTAATAAATGTTGAACTGAAATAAAGGGGGATTTGCTTTTAGGTAGTCTAATGATTGGGGGAATGTTACAGATATTTGTGCAAAAGAAAAAAAAGGATTTGAATTAAAATCTTGGCTCCTTGATTAGAAAAACCGTGATATTTGTTTTGTGTTTTTTAACATTTCCAGGTGCTGGGCTTTGCTGTAAAAAGAGGGCCTGAGGTTTTTTTTTTGGGGGGGGCCCATTTTGGCACCCTCCAGAAAACCTTCAAATCCACTTTCGCTGGCTTGAATTTGTATCCAAAAATTGGTCGTTCGCACTCGACCCTGTCTATGCACAGGTGGAAGAGTGTGTGTACATTTAAAATCGGGTGTCAGCAGCACCTGATGTGACACTTCTCTCGCATCCGGCGTGCAGACTCCTGACGTACTGTAAGTCTACAAGAGCTGTTTTTGGGGAGGGGGGGGGGGGGAGGAATGTCTTCCTGTGATTTTATTGTTATTTTTATTTTTTCAAAACTGCTTTTATGAATTCTAATTTTTGTCAACCTGGGGTGCGTTAAAAATGTGTATTTGTTTTTATTTTTATTTTATTTTTTATTTTATTTTTTTTCATGTTATGTTATCCAGAAGTTGTTATAAACTTTTAAGACTGAAATAAATACTATGTCCAAAGTGCTGTCTTCTGATAATGAATGATTACCGGCAAAAGAGAGAATATCTGAATCTCCTACAGTGGAAAATAAGCATCATTACATTATTATTATTATTTTATTTGTATTATTTACAGTATAAACATTTTGTTTTGTGTTTTTTGGCCAAAATCTCGTTCTTGCAGCCAAAAACTTCGTTTTTAATGTTAATTTTACTGAATTTTATCTCCGAACCTGGAAACATGCAGGCTGTGGAGAGAAAATAAAACTTATAATAGTACCACAACTTTGACACTTTCTTTTACTCAAACTCTTTGTCAGTGTATGTTGACTAAAAAAACCAATAAGAGATTATGGGTCTTAATCCAGATTAAATGGGATATTTCAAGAGGAAACTGCTTCTGCCAAACATCCATCAGGATTACATGTCTGTATTTTAGATGGAATATATTATTTTAAAATCAAAATCAAAAACTGTATAAATTAGGATTCCCTGCACACAATTCAACTCTTTACTAATACAGAAACCTTAAATTTACCAGAATATGATTTTTTTTATATTAAAGAAATCACTAAAATCATGTGTGTCAGATAATCTTAATTGAAAAAGAAACTTTCAGACATCAAAAATCAAACACTGACATTTTTATATCACCCAAAAACCGATTATTGTATAAACGACTCCGATTAAACCGAAGGCGACCAGCAGGCATACACCTGCAACCAAACCGGCGATCAGGAGCACTTCCCTCCACGATTTGCAGGACGCGGTCTTTGCGAGCTCCGCAGAGCAGAGTCTGATGTGAGCCTGCAGCATCTGGACGATGACCGCGTCCACAGCTGGATCCTCTAACAGTATCACAGTCTCCAGCGTCCGCCGGCCGCAGAGCTTCTCCTGCAGCTCTTTCAGCACAGCCTCGCAGACTCTGTCGATGCTCTTCAAGTCGGGGCAGAAGCCCTCAGTGGGGGCGAGTCCCTCCATGGTCTGGTCTACCAGTCTCTTCAGGTGGGGGGGCCAGTCCTCCTGACTGCGGCTGTGCAGAGAGTGACACTTGTACAACACTCTGACTGTCAGCAGGGTGACAAATATCCGGAGCTGCTTCCTCTCACTTCCTGTCTCTGGTTGTGTGGACTCACAGCCAGAGGCGGGAGGACCAGCAGACCCCTGTGAGGGCTTCATCGTGTCTGCAGGGTCGGTCTCCTCCTCCAGGAACCTGGATTCTGCGCACTTCTCAGGAGCGGGATCTGAACCGTCCATGGTCCTGGATACTCAAGGGTTCAGTGGTCTCTGGCTGGGATCTGATCCTGATCCTGATCCTGATCCTGATCCTGGGAACTTCGAGACTCTCTACGTCATACAGATCTGCGGTCTAGAACACCTGATGTAGAAACTGATGCATGTGCGCGCGCAACACACACCCTAGCCATCTTCAGCTTTAATTGTTAGTTTTAGGGTTTCTATGGAAACGTCTGTCTTTCTGTCCGCAGCCTTTCCAGGAATTTTACACTGGAACTCTTTAAGGTTACAAACACAATGTATTTATTATTTTAAATAAAACAATAACTTATTTAAATCTCAACTTCTTGAACCTTTAATTTGGTAAAATGTGTTTTTAATTAAATTTATAGAAAACACCAAACACATCAGGAGTTCCAATAGAATATCGATTAATCCAGTATATATTCCCCATTGTGCAAATGCTGTATTTTGAGGTCAAAAACATGCATTTAAGATACAATAATGTGTATCAAATATATGATGTAATTAACATAAAGAAGAAAATGTGAAATAAATATAATATAATATATATAGTCTTCTCTCTGCTGCTGCTCTGGGAATGAGGACGGGCTGTGGAGTGTGTGAAACTACGGTGGCCGCGAAACTCGCATAAAAGGCCCCTAAAAGGCCCAGTGTTTGGTTTGTCCGTTCTGGGCTACTGTAGAAACATGGTGGTTCCAACGTGGTGGCCTCCAGGGAAGAGACAATCTGCGGCGTCTGTAGATTAAAAACAGCTCATAAGGTAACAAACACACATCAATTATATATTATATTATATTATATTATATTATATTATATTATATTATATTATATTATATTCAGGTGATTATAAACTAATGAAAACAAACCTATTTATATTATATTCAGTGTCTGCCAGTAGATCTTCCTAAATGTTTCACACTGGTCCTTTAAATCCGGTAATAAAGACAGAAAAAATGAGACTTTAACGCAGTGTAACATAAGACTGATGTTACAGATGTTCACTGTGTTCAGACAGGAAGCACAGACAGTAAAACAGCTGAGTCAGCTTTCATTAAACATGCATTTATCAAAATGGCTGCAGCAGGATTTAAAACCTCATGTTGTCAATCATTAAATACTCATTAAATTATGTAACTGAATCCATTTGTGTTCTCTCTCTTCACACCAGTGACTTCAACTGAAAGCTTTATATGAAACCATGAGATCAATGATTACAGTTGTGAGAGCTGAAAGGAGACAGTGGACTTTAAATTGGGACTTTTTAATGAAGCTGGATATTAAGGAAATAAGAAAAAGAGTAAAAGGAAGTCTACGGAAGCCTTTTGCATTCACTTGGAAAACATCAGGCCCGTTTTTCTGAATTAAGGATTTATTATTTATCATATCATAATTATAAAATACTTTTTCATGTTAAAAACCGGCCCTGTGCAAGGAGAGCGTGCTGGAGGAATCTGGTTTATTCAGATAGACAGTACCGATTTATTATTATTATCTGATAATTAATACATAATAAGTCGTTAATTTCCTATTTCCAATGGGCCTTTAATCATTCAGCTTCAGGACTTTAAATTTACCGTAAAGCTAAAAGGAAGTTTTATTTTTAATTCAAAATATCATTTTTGTCATAATTTTGTCCACGGTAACAATACTTTTTCTATATATATATATATTGTTTATTTCGCATTTTCTTTTTTATGTCATATATTTGTTATATATTATTGTATTTTAAATTGTGGAAAAACGTATTTTCAACCTCAAAATACGGCGCTTGCACTGTGGGGGGAAACGATGGGTAAAATATATACTGGAATAATCGATATTCTATTAGAACAGAGTAAATAAAAAAGATAATTGTTTGTTGTGTATTTATGGAGGTTGGCTGAGATTATGTAAATTTATCTTATTATGGAAAATACACAATGTGTTGTTTTAATACGGATTAACGTCGAAATTAGATAAACTCATGTAAAGACACAAACGGAATGTTTTATTGTATAATATATTATATATATATATATAATTAATTATATATTTCATTTAAAATTAATCAAAAACCACATTTTACCAAATTAAAGCTTCAAGAAGTTGAGATTTAAATAAGTTATTGTTTTATTTAAAATAATAAATACATTGTGTTTGTAACCTTAAAGAGTTCCAGTGTAATATTCCTGGAAAGGCTGCGGACAGAAAGAAAGACGTTTCCATAGAAACCCTAAAACTAACAATTAAAGCTGAAGATGGCTTGGGTGTGTGTTGCGCTCGCACATGCTTGCGTTTCTACGTCACGTGTTCTAGACCGCAGATCTGTATGACGTAGAGAGTCTCGAGGTTCCCAGGATCAGGATCAGGATCAGGATCAGATCCCAGCCAGAGACCACTGAACCCTTGAGTATCCAGGACCATGGACGGTTCAGATCCCGCTCCTGAGAAGTGCGCAGAATCCAGGTTCCTGGAGGAGGAGACCGACCCTGCAGACACGATGAAGCCCTCACAGGGGTCTGCTGGTCCTCCCGCCTCTGGCTGTGAGTCCACACAACCAGAGACAGGAAGTGAGAGGAAGCAGCTCCGGATATTTGTCACCCTGCTGACAGTCAGAGTGTTGTACAAGTGTCACTCTCTGCACAGCCGCAGTCAGGAGGACTGGCCCCCCCACCTGAAGAGACTGGTAGACCAGACCATGGAGGGACTCGCCCCCACTGAGGGCTTCTGCCCCGACTTGAAGAGCATCGACAGAGTCTGCGAGGCTGTGCTGAAAGAGCTGCAGGAGAAGCTCTGCGGCCGGCGGACGCTGGAGACTGTGATACTGTTAGAGGATCCAGCTGTGGACGCGGTCATCGTCCAGATGCTGCAGGCTCACATCAGACTCTGCTCTGCGGAGCTCGCAAAGAAGACCGTCCCCCTCGTTAAGTGGATGGATGTGGTCAAGCTCCTGTCGTTCGGTCTGTGCATGTTGGCCCTCCTTTTCGTCTTACTCGCATTCCTCATATAAAGCAGAGGCACATCTGGAGCTCCAGCTGTGCCAGTGGTGGACTACAGGCTGGAGGAGCGGGACCGGAGGGTCGTCGGCTAAATCCGTTTTCCTCCCACATTCTCAATTTAGACAATAAAAGACGTTCAATTTGATTTTTAATGTCTGAAACACTTCTTCTTAAATTAAGATTAGCTGACACACACACACACACACACACACACACACACACACACACACACACACACACATGAGTACATAAAAATAATAATCTGATACATTTAAGTTTTCTGTATCAGTGGATTATCTCTGGAGTAGTGAAATAAGTATTTGTGGCAGTTTTACATTAAATTTTGTCCAATTTAATTTAGATTTTACATTTCCATAACACTGTTGGGTTGTTTTTGTTTTTAATAATAGCCTACAGAAAAAAAAATTTTCGAGTTTGGTTGGAAATAATGTCCCAGTCAGTCCACCATCTCTCCACATATAAACCGAGAGAGAGAGAGAGAGAGAGAGAGAGAGAGAGAGAGAGAGAGAGAGAGAGGTGAGTGACTGTGGTGACTGAGTGAAACAGGAATTTCCCCCACTGAGGATGAATAAAATGAATCATCTTCTTCTAATGTGCCTGATTATTTAGCGACCGGTTCTCATATTTATATATTTATTTGATCTAACTGTACAGGGAAAGAAAGATGGTTTTGGTTTCTCCACAGCGGCAGTGTTACATGTTTGGAGGATTATATCCTATTAAATTAAACCTGTAGTAAAATCTTTATAATTAAGAGTTTTACTACAAAAAAAACAAACATTGTGACCTTAAAATCTATCTGCAGGCAGGATGCAGGTTTATTTCTAATAAGGAGACACAACTCAGAGTGCATTGCTCCTTCAACTTAAGTTTACTTTATTAAGGCTTCTTCACTTAACTGTATTAGATTGTGTTAGTTTATTGACCTGTCAGCATTATCACAGGTGGAAAAACACATTTATTAACTTTTATTTATATATATTTAATTATAATTTCCTTTTTAAAATTAATAACAGATGCTGTATAACTGCACTGTGAGTTATTCTGCAGTGTTTACGCTGATTATTTCGAGCCGAGACAAATATTAAGTTGCTTTACTTAAATTCATTGTTTGTTTGTAATTGCTCCATTCGTCCAGAAGGAGGGGATGTTGATGCATATTTTGGGATTGCTGCTCTTTCACTCGCCATTCTCTCGCATCTCCACGCTTCCTCAAACTGTCAATACAAAAACTAATGTATCATCCTAAATGTACCAGAGGCGACATAATAACAAGTTTAACTCTCACCATTACCCACAATTACACCAACCAAGAAGCATTATTGTTATTGCATAAAGAAACAACTTACTTACATACAACTATAACCGCATAGCTGACTTCTGGTGTTGTCATGGAAACGTGTAAACACCAGTCTGAAGAGCTTCAGCCACACCCTGCACAAAAGTGATACCTCACACCTTGATGTGAACCATGCTGCATGACGGGATTAGAGGAAGTGGTTTTGCTATCTGACCAAATAAATCTCAAATACTAAACAAGACTAAAGTCCCCAAACCAGTTCCCCCATGGAGATAAAGAGACATTCAATATCACATTCATGCGGTCAACAGTGTGATTACATTACATTTCAAATCAATCCAATCACATGACTGGATTAATTTTTGTAGGAAACTAATTGAAAGAGGGAGTCTCTTTCTGAAATGTTCACAGTTATATAACAGCAGATCCATATCGCTCCCATCCACCAGTATGCAACCCTATTTCTATTTATAAAACCACCGAAAGCATTAGGAGGAGGAGGATTTTATTGTCTCACGGCATTTTAGGAAATGACTCACTGTCCGACAATCGTGTCGTCACAGGTTCAAAAAGACGAATATTGTACACACACACACACACACACACACACACACACACACATTCAATGACTCATCAAAACAATTGAAACAACTGAGGTGTAAAGGCCATCGCATTGAAATGCACATGCTTTTTTTTGTCATCCTTTTGTGTGCACATAGCTTCCAAGAGGTTACATAGTGCAATGTTATTTTAACAATTCATGTTTATCTCTGTTTGCATCACATTTTAACAAAGCAATGAATGCTGTCTTCTTTGTTGCTGGAATGTAAAAACACATAGAGTCCAAAAATAGAACTCTCTCCCCAAACACATCCGTGACTGTACTGATCCATCCAACTTTAAATCACTGATCAAAACCCTCCTCTTCAGAACTGCTTTTAATGATTTTAACAACTAATTATTGACTGTTGTAGATATAGCTATACTTTCGTAGTGTGTTGTTTTTAGCTTTTTATTTTCTGTTTAACTCATGTGAAGTGTCTTTGAGTTTCTTGAAAAGCGCTCTATAAATTAAAGTATTCGCTGTTCCGATACATGAACTGTGATCTCATCAAATGGAGGATTATTTAAAATTTAATTAAACTTGTAATAAAATCTTTTATAATTAAAAGAGTTTTACTACAAAAAAACAAACATTGTGACCTTAAAATCTATCTGCAGGCAGGATGCAGGTTTATTCCTAATAAGGAGACACAACTCAGAGTGCATTGCTCCTTTAATTTAAGTTTACTTTATTAAGGCTTCTTCACTTAACTGTTCTGTGTTAGAGTTTATTGACCTGTCAGGATTATCACAGGTTCAAAAACACATTTATTTATATATATATAAATATATATAAATAAATGTGTTTTTTTAATTATGATTTCCTTTTTAAAATTAAATAACAGGATTTCAGATGATGTGTAACTTTGAGTTATTCTGCAGTGTTTTTTATGTTGCAAATTGAAAAAACAAGAACAAAAGAGGAACACATTTTAAATAACCACTTTATTGACAGGTCTGCAACCACCAGCATTAACAACAAACTTGTACAATAACAGCAGCATGTGTCATGTTTGCGTCTTGAGGAGGATTCTCACTGTTCAGAGGTTAGTCGACGTCCTCCTCTGGGTCCAGATGAGACTCTGGAGCAGCGGGAAAGCAGCAATAATAATAATTATAATTAAGATTATTATTACCAATATTATTATTATCCTAATGATAATAATAATTATTATTAATATTATGATTATAATAATAGTAACAATTATTATTATAAACATAATTTCAATTATAATTATTATTATTATAGCTGCCAAACCGACTGCAATCCAGGTTCCCATCCCGCACCCTTCCTTCTCAGTAGCGCACTGTGTGGGCTGAGAAAGGGGACAATGAAAGACAGATTCAAGTTACAGTCCCAACACATCGTTGCGTTATATCAGAGGAGTTGTGCATGAGACCTGAGAGTGAGACACTTACAGTGAGCGGTGGGTGAGGGGTTGTCTGATCCAAGTTTCTTTTGGTGACCTTCATCCTCACAGCAGCAAGACTTTCCCTCCATCTGCTTCCTTTTTTATCCTTGATGTAGGAGAAGTAGTCCCCTTGGTCCTCAGCTTGAACCCGAGTCAAAGTCAGCATCAGGTCTCCCCTCACCTTCCAACCAGAAGACACAGACAGTCTCTCCTTAAATCCTGCCCCACATTTTTTTCCCCAATTCAATAAACATTCTGATGAATCGTATCCCTGCCATCGTCAGCCTATTTTAGTATATTAACTACGAGGACGAGATGCTGATGCAGGTACTCATCTCGTGTTTCATGATATTAGCAATGCAGTTTGAGTTATTTGGATGTGAATTGACCTGATTTAATAAAGAGGTGTGGTTGTTTCTGTTTTAACATGGTGTGTGTGTGTGTGTGTGTGTGTGTGTGTGTGTGTGTGTGTGTGTGTGTGTGTGTGTGTGTGTGTGTGTGTGTGTCAGTGTGTCAGAGTATTATTATGTAAATTATGTATTATTGTCTTATTCACAGTTTCATGACTGCAACAGCTTCGATCTGCTTCACAATTCCCTTCACTGTCTGAAGTAGCCTTGCTTTGGGGACATGGGCCTGGCTCTGTCAACAGCAACAGTGACTTAAATTGAGTTAAAAAAAATGTAGCCTATATTTTGCTATTGATTATATAACCGAAATAGCCAAGGGGTTGATTAATGTCTTAGTAATTGCCAGTGGTACAGCAGTTCACTAATAAACCAAAACAGCCAACCAGTGTCTACAACACTCACCATCAATGGCATCTTTGGACCACTGGGAGTAAGGGTCGTCTGCTTGGTGAATCTCAGACGAAGAGGACACTGCAGATACTGGAGCAAGAGAACATAAAGGTTTATTGTTCCATTATATATTGCTTTTTGTAAACATTAAATGTTATGTTTCATAGAAAAACTCACGAAAAACTAACCTAGTCTTGGAATACACAAAATCTAAATGGGCTTCTCAGTATCATAGCTCTAGGTAGACAGCTTCACTTTGCCATTGTACGTAGAGGGCAAGCTCTTTTGAGTAATGTCACCCTTGTCAGACAAAAAAATATTTCAAACCATCCCAAAGTCAGTGTAAGCTGTCCAAAATTCTAAATATTCTTTTTACTTTGTTATTATCAGCTATTATGGTGTCTTTTATTTTAAATTGCTGTGAAAACTACAACACAAAATCTTTAAACATTTAACTTTTTTTGTATTTAGTCTATTCAAACGTCCCACCAATAACACAATTTTACAAGACCACATTTGAACACATCACAATAACGTAATTGACCTGCCTAATGCTCATAATTATATATATATATATATATATATATATATATAGATATATATATATATATATATACACACTAGGAATCGTTGCTCTACAATGAACTGGCGACTTGTCCAGAGTATAGTCCGCCTCTCAACCGATGACAGCTAACGTAGGCTCCAGCCCCTGCGCCCCGTCTAAGGTCAGCGGGTACAGACAATACATGAATGAACTAGTAATCGTTTCAGCCGCTCTCGGTAGTTTTACTCTCACCATTCTTAGAGAAAAAATGTTTGTGACTTTGTTCTAGCTCGGATTCATTAGTATGAATATATATTAGTTAAGTCTATGCATAATAATTTAGTCATAGAGGCTACTGGGGGCTGTGTGTGGGCCCTAATGGGCTGTGGGCCCTTAGAATTGTCATCACCGTCCCCCCACGATGGTGCTGTGGGTGTGTGTGTGTGTGTGTGTGTGTTACACTTTGACCTGCTGTAACAATAAAAGAGGGAACTGCTGTACCTTTTTACACTGAGTATTTTAAAAAGTGGAGTGGTAGCTGCTTTCTATTTATTAAATATAGTGTTTGGGTGCAAATTGATTATGTGTGAGTCTGTAAGCAGTTCCCATCCTCAGGATAAAGTCTGTGGATCAGGTTTCTCAGCCTGAAGGGCCCCATGCTCCTCGTATTGTTACCCTCATGGTGTAAATAAGGAAGCTGGCAGAGTGCCTCACATTTAAGATGGAGCAAAGGATGAGGCTGCCTCTGTGTGTGTGTGTGTGTGTGTGTGTAATAAAATAATACATATAATATAATATAATATAGTAAATACAGTCCTATTATACATATAATATACTATAATATAATAAATACAGGCCTATTGTATCTAGTTCATGCACATTTTTGTTTTTCCTCTAAGTTCTGATAACTTATACTGTTATATGTGGTACAGAACTGTGTTCATTGTCCTATGTTTGAGGTGGAGACACCTTAAAAAGTGTGTTTCCTGTTCCAAGTGCAATAGTTAAATCCAATTGTTCTGATGACACTTAAAACAGTTTGTGCAGAATTTTGTGGGTTTTCTCGTCTTTTTTTTTTATGGGTGGGGGGCGCTCAAAGGGGGTCTCGTCCCGGATGTCATTCAAGGATATGTGTGTCCCCCTCCAACATCTCAACCTCAGGGTGTGAATTACAAGGGAGCCAGAGGGAGCTGGGCTTCTCTTAATAAGACCTGAGCTCCGCTGAAAACATGATTTGTGAAATTGTGTGTGTGTGTGTGGTTGCGTGTGCCTGTGCGTGTGTGCGTGTGTGTGTGTGTATGTAGGTTACACCATCCTCCTCTCCATTCGCTGGTTAAAACCGTTTAATGTTCCTTTCCTGCAGAACTCTCTCTGTTATGCAGGTAATGTATTAAAACAACAAGGTGACTGCATTGTGTCTGAGATCAGGTCAGATCACCTTCAGGGTGTGTTTCACACACATGCACAGACACACACACACACACACACACACACACACACACACACACACACACACACACACACACACACACAGAGGCTAAAATATGATGCATCGTTACAGATTATAGTCTTTATATTTTAAAATAACTTCACTTCGACCCGCTGTAACAATAAAAGAGGGTACAGCTCTGTCTTTTTACACTGAGTATTTTCACAGCCTATTTCTATTTATTAAATATAGTGTTTGGGTGCAAATGGATTATGTGTGAGTCTGTAAGCGGTTCCCATCCTCAGGATAAAGTCTGGATCAGGTTTCTCAGGCTAAAGGCCCCGGGCTCTGGTACTGTTTGCAGATGGGGAGTGACTGCAGTCAGTCCTTCTGAGCTGAGCGGAAAGTTACCCACTGTGTGCGTCGACCAAGGTCAAAAGCAACTTAGTGAACACAAGTTAAGTCACTCTCTCTCTATTATATGTATATGTATATGTATATATATAATATTAACCAGTATAGTTACAGTTTGTAATAGCTGTAATCGTTGACCTGCTACAGGCCAGAACTGTTCTTGTGATCCTGTGGCTTTTGGCTAAAAACTTTGTATTTGTATTTTGCTCCAGTGTATTGGGTTCAAACTCTCCCTGTGTCTCTGTCCTCCATTAGGTTTACACTGTTTCTCAGAAAGAGACATCCTGACAAAATCATAAAAAATACAAAAACATCACTTTATGGTTAACAGTAACCCATTTCATATATATATATATATAAATATATAGTGGGGAGTATTGCCTATTTTGCAGGTTTTCCCACTTACCAAGTATGTAGAGGTCTGTAATTTTTATCATAGTTACACTCCAACTGTGAGAGACGGAATCTAAAACAGAAATCCAGAAAATCACATTGTGTGATTTTTAAATAATGAATTTGCATTTTATTGCATGACATAGTATTTGATCACCTACCAGCCAGTAAGAATTCTGGCTCTCACAGACCTGTTAGTTTTTCTGTAAGAAGCCTTCCTGTTCTCCACTCATTACCTGTATTAACTGCACCTGTTTGAACTCGTTACCTGTATAAAAGACACCTGTCCACATACTCAATCAAACAGACTCCAACCTCTCCACAATGGCCAAGACCAGAGAGCTGTGTAAGGATATCAGGGACAAAATTGTAGACCTGCACAAGGCTGGGATGGGCTACAGGATAATAGGCAAGCAGCTTAGTGAGAAGGCAACAACTGTTGGTGCAATTATTAGAAAATGGAAGTTCAAGATGACGGTCAATCTCTCTCGGTCTGGGGCTCCATGCAAGATCTCACCTCGTGGAGCATCAATGATCATGAGGAAGGTGAGGGATCAGCCCAGAACTACACGGCAGGGTCACCTCCCCCATCCTGTGGTCTGTGCGCTTTTGTCTGAGTCATCTGCAACCGGTCGCTGCTCCGGTCTCTCTCTCTCTCTCCCAACATACCGGTTTCTCTGCTTTACACCCGCTGCTGTGAGTGGACAGAGTTTTGTGGTGGGAAATGTGAACGTGACAAATGCACAGATGGTAAAGAATTCAAACTGATGACAGGTGGTGTGTGTGTGGTGTGTGTGTGGTGTGTGTGTGTGGTGTGTGTGTGGTGTGTGTGTGTGGTGTGTGTGTGCGTGTGGGGGGTGTGGTGTGTGTGTGGGGGGTGTGTGTGGGGTGTGTGTGGTCGTGTGTCCCCTGTTCTCTGGAATAATGGAGCAAATAAAAACAGCATGAATTCAAAATAATAACAATAATAATCTGCTTTCTCATCATTTCACCATGTGCTGGTCTACAGCCCGATTCTGCTGAACCGCTTTAGCAAAAATACTGAAAATAAAATCAAGGGAGGCAGCAGGCGTGTTTTTTGTTTTCATGAGGTGGAATCTGCTCTGTGTTTAAGGACAGTTGAAAGGCAGCTATTACAAACTGTAACTATACTGGTTATAATATAATAGTATGAGTCTCCTCTGCTACCGTTCATTTAGCTTTTTATTTCCTGACAGCATTTTAGTTGGCACATCTGACACACTGTAATGAATGAACAGGCCCTACGCTGTATTTTAATCTAATATTTAGAATTTTTTTAAACATTATTTGAAGCTAAATGTGACAAAATGTTGCTGTTAGTTTCAGTGTGAGCCGCTTTACAAACGGCACCCCATAGTTATAGGTAATATAAAGTTAATATTTAGTTATAAATCTTTTATACTAATTGTATACTAATAATACAAATTACATAACCTACATACTAGGCTGTATTTTAGCATGTTTTTAATGAGGGGATTTGATGAGATCACATTTAATCTATCGGACCAGTGAGCTCCCTCTGTCTCTCTCAGTGCTGGAAGAAGTTAAATGAGGCCGACAGAAACGGGACTGCCCTGCTGCCCAAAGTTACAATATTACAGAATTTAAATCCACATGTTCGTTATCTCCCTCATAGAAAGAGAAAAACACAGACAATATAGACAACAAGTGATCTGTGATTAGAGAAGATGTTTGAAGGCAGTGTGGGTGATGATTGTTTTCATGAGGTGGAATCTGCTCTGAGTTTAAGGATGGTTTAAGGCCAGCTTTTACAAACTGTAATATAACTGAGTATCATAAGTTTAAAACATTTATCTCTGTCCTTTAAGTGTTTCTGTGGCAGCTGAACAGATAACCTGTCAAAGGAGAAGGGTGTAACCTACACACACACACACACGAACAAATGTCCATTAATCAGCTTGGAAATCAGAGGAAATGACGTTCCTTATTACTCTTACATAAAGTGTGTATTGGGTGACTCATGAGACAAGAAGTGTCAAAAATTCAAAACTCTCAGTGCTGAAAAAAGAAGGATACTACACTTTATATTTGAGTTTTCCATAAACATCCTACACTGAAAGATAGTACAGCTGCTTTAATTCAGAGTACTTTTAAAGCAGATGCTGGTAGGAGTTAATGAGACAATTCAGTTCTGATTACAAGAATAAAAGAAGAGTCACCATTGTGCACAAATAATACATCAACAGTAAGTTTACACATAACCCCAATAACAGAAATACATGGTAGAAATAGCATATTGTCCCTTCAGGAAGTTGTGTCTCAGTGGAATAAGAAAAAACACTGACAAAATCAGACCAGCGTTTGTTTGACACATTTTGTGTCATAGCTGTAGTGGAAACTGCGACACACACACACACACACACACACACACACACACACAATGACTAGGTCATATAAGGTGGAGGTAAAGGCTGAGGCTGCTGACAGACAGGTGGTTTTAAAGCGGCCATGGTTTTTAGGAAAAAGATTTATTAACATCTCACTGTATCATAACTTCTCGCTCAAAGAGAACAGCAGTGGTAGTTTGGGGGCCTCAGATGATGGCACTGAAGTACACCGCTTATAGGGACACACCCTGTGTCATCACCCTGTGTCATCACCCTGTTAACTCCAGAACTCTCTCTAACCCACTAGAATGTTCTAGTGGGTTAGAGGTGTGGCAGTTAACGGTACACCTGAGATAACGTGTTAACATGGCCTGATGTTTATCCAAATCCGCTTGAGCAAACACACTGATCATGTCAGTGTAAGTGTGTGTTTGTATAACACCCTCATTCTCTGACAGGTGTACAAAAGGACAGAGATTAACTATCTCCCCTGATCACAGAGCACAAAGAGAGTACATTTACTGAAGTAGGCTGTAACTTTGAAGTTCTTTAAGTTATATTACAGTTATATTATATCTCCTCAGTTCTGCATTGTGTCTAAATAAACTGCTTTGAGAGAGTTATTGTGCTCTTTAAAGCCGGTATCTCACTAATGTCATTGTGTCACTGTGAGGGCTGGGTGTGGCTGACTGCTGGGGATGTTTTCATGTCATCTCTAAACATATCAAAGTATGACTCACAGGACTCTTCTATGGTGCATGACACTCAAAAAAACAGTTTCAGTGGATGGTCATCTGCCCTTGTCAGGCGAAAAAATATTTTAAACCATCCCAAAGTCAGTGTAAAATTCTAAATATTCTTTTTACTTTGTTATTATCAGCTATTATGGTGTCTTTTATTTTATATTGCTGTGAAAACTACAACACAAAATCTTTAAACATTTAACTTTTTTTGTATTTAGTCTATTCAAACGTCCCACCAATAACACAATTTTACAAGACCACATTTGAACACATCACAATAACGTAATTGACCTGCCTAATGCTCATAATTATATATATATATATATATATATATATATATATACAAACACTAAGAATCGTTGCTCTACAATGAACTGGCGACTTGTCCAGAGTATAGTCCGCCTCTCACCCGATGACAGCTAACGTAGGCTCCAGCCCCTGCGCCCCGTCTAAGGTCAGCGGTTACAGACAATACATGAATGAACTAGTAATCGTTTCAGCCGCTCTCGGTAGTTTTACTCTCACCATTCTCAGAGAAAAAATGTTTGTGGCTTTGTTTTAGCTCGGATTCATTAGTATGAATATATATTAGTTAAGTCTATGCATAATAATTTAGTCATAGAGGCTACTGGGGGCTGTGTGTGGGCCCTAATGGGCTGTTGGCCCTTAGAATTGTCATCACCGTCCCCCACGATGGTGCTGTGGGTGTGTGTGTGTGTGTGTGTGTGTGTGTGTACACTTTGACCTGCTGTAACAATAAAAGAGGGAACTGCTGTACCTTTTTACACTGAGTATTTTAAAAAGTGGAGTGGTAGCTGCTTTCTATTTATTAAATATAGTGTTTGGGTGCAAATTGATTATGTGTGAGTCTGTAAGCAGTTCCCATCCTCAGGATAAAGTCTGTGGATCAGGTTTCTCAGCCTGAAGGGCCCCATGCTCCTCGTATTGTTACCCTCATGGTGTAAATAAGGAAGCTGGCAGAGTGCCTCACATTTGAGATGGAGCAATGGCTGCCTCTGTGTGTGTGTGTAATAAAATAATACATATAATATACTATAATATAATAAATACAGGCCTATTATATCTAGTTCATGCACATTTTTGTTTTTCTGAATTGTGTGAAATGGCTAACAAAAATAGGTAATGTCCTTGTGGTCCTCTAAGTTCTGATAACTTATACTGTTATATGTGGTACAGAACTGTGTTCATTGTCCTATGTTTGAGGTGGAGACACCTTAACAAGTGTGTTTCCTGTTCCAAGTGCAATAGTTAAATCCAATTGTTCTGATGACACTTAAAACAGTTTGTGCAGAATTTTGTGGGTTTTCTTGTCTTTTTTTTTTTATGGGTGGGGGGGCGCTCAAAGGGGGTCTCGTCCCGGATGTCATTCAAGGTAGAACCGCCACTGGCTATGTGTGTCCCCCTCCAACATCTCAACCTCAGGGTGTGAATTACAAGGGAGCCAGAGGGAGCTGGGCTCCTCTTAATAAGACCTGAGCTCCGCTGAAAACATGATTTGTGAAATTGTGTGTGTGGTCTCTGAAACAGTTCTGGTATCAGCCCTGGCAAAAGACATTTTAGGCCACAATGATTTCTTTCCTTCTAGAGACTACCAGGCCTTTCTTTGCTCTTGTTTGCAGGAGAAAGTGAAGTAATTCACTCATTCATCATTAAGAGGTGAAGGCAACTTATTCCACTGAGACACAACTTCCTGAAGGGACAATATGCTATTTCTACCATGTATTTCTGTTATTGGGGTTATGTGTAAACTTACTGTTGATGTATTATTTGTGCACAATGGTGACTCTTCTTTTATTCTTGTAATCAGAACTGAATTGTCTCATTAACTCCTACCAGCATCTGCTTTAAAAGTACTCTGAATTAAAGCAGCTGTACTATCTTTCAGTGTAGGATGTTTATGGAAAACTCAAATATAAAGTGTAGTATCCTTCTTTTTTCAGCACTGAGAGAGTTTTGAATTTTTGACACTTCTTGTCTCATGAGTCACCCAATACACACTTTATGTAAGAGTAATAAGGAACGTCATTTCCTCTGATTTCCAAGCTGATTAATGGACATTTGTTGGTAATTGTCAGTGTGTGTGTGTGTGTGTGTGTGTGTGTGTGTGTGTGTGTGTGTGTGTGTGTGTGTGTGTGCAGGTTACACCCTTCTCCTTTGACGGGTTGTCTGTTCAGCTGCCACAGAAACACTTTAAGGACAGAGATAAATGTTTTAAACTTTTGATACTCAGTTATATTACAGTTTGTAAAAGCTGGCCTTAAACCATCCGTAAACTCAGAGCAGATTCCACCTCATGAAAACAATCATCACCCACACTGCCTTCAAACATCTTCTCTAATCACAGATCATTTGTTGTCTATATTGTCTGTGTTTTTCTCTTTCTATGAGGGAGATAACGAACATCTGGATTTAAATTCTGTAATATTGTAACTTTGGGCAGCAGGGCAGTCCCGTTTCTGTCGGCCTCATTTAACTTCTTCCAGCACTGAGAGAGACAGAGGGAGCTCACTGGTCCGATAGATTAAATGTGATCTCATCAAATCCCCTCGTTAAAAACATGCTAAAATACAGCCTAGTATGTAGGTTATGTAATTTGTATTATTAGTATACAAGATTTATAACTAAATATTAACTTTATATTACCTATAACTATGGGGTGCTGTTTGTAAAGCGGCTCACACTGAAAATAACAGCAACATTTTGTCACATTTAGCTTCAAATAATGTTTAAAAAAATTCTAAATATTAGATTAAAATACAGCGTAGGGCCTGTTCATTCACTACAGTGTGTCAGATGTACCATCTAAACTGCTGTCAGGAAATAAAAAGCTAAATGAACGGTAGCAGACGAGACTCATACTATTATAATATTATAACCAGTATAGTTACAGTTTGTAGTAGCTGCCTTTCAACTGTCCTTAAACACAGAGCAGATTCCACCTCATGAAAACAAAAAAAAAAACGCCTGCTGCCTCCCTTGATTTTATTTTCTCAGTATTTTTGTTAAAGAGTTTCAGCAGAATCGGTCTGTAGACCAGCACATGGTGAAATGATGAGAAAGCAGATATAGTTCTTTTGAATTCATGCTGTTTTTAACACACACACACACACACACACACACACACACACACACACACACACCACACACCACACACCCACACTTTTTCTGTCACAGTTATATCTTCTGTCATCAGTTTGAATTCTTTACCATCTGTGCATTTGTCACGTTCACATTTCCCACCACAAAACTCTTTCCACACACAGCAGCGAGTGTAAAGCAGAGAAACCGGTATGTTAGGAGAGAGAGAGAGAGTCCGGAGCAGCGACCGGTTGCAGATGACTCAGACAAAAGCGCACAGACCACAGGATGGGGGAGGTAGTTCTGGGCTGATCCCTCACCTTCCTCATGATCATTGATGCCCCACAAGGTGAGATCTTGCATGGAGCCCCAGACCGAGGGAGATTGACATCTCATCTTGAACTTCCATTTTCTAATAATTGCACCAACAGTTGTTGCCTTCTCACTAAGCTGCTTGCCTATATATATTTTACCCATCGTTTCCCCCCCACAGTGCAAGCGCCGTATTTTGAGGTTGAAAATACGCTTTTCCACAATTTAAAATACAATAATAGAAATATATGACATAATAGACATATAGAAAAAGTATTGTTACCCTGGACAGAATTATGACAAAAATGATATTTTGAATTAAAAATAAAACTTCCTTTTAGCTTAACGGTAAATTTAAAGTCCTGAAGCTGAATGATTAAAGGCCCATTGGAAATAGGAAATTAACGACTTATTATGTATTAATTATCAGATAATGATAATAAATCGGTACTGTCTATCTGAATAAACCAGATTCCTCCAGCACGCTCTCCTTGCACAGGGCCGGTTTTTAACATGAAAAAGTATTTTATAATTATGATATAATAAATAATAAATCCTTAATTCCAAGTGAATGCAAAAGGCTTCCGTAGACTTCCTTTTACTCTTTTTCTTATTTCCTTAATATCCAGCTTCATTAAAAAGGCCCAATTTAAAGTCCACTGTCTCCTTTCAGCTCTCACAACTGTAATCATTGATCTCATGGTTTCATATAAAGCTTTCAGTTGAAGTCACTGGTGTGAAGAGAGAGAACACAAATGGATTCAGTTACATAATTTAATGAGTATTTAATGATTGACAACACGAGGTTTTAAATCCTGCTGCAGCCATTTTGATAAATGCATGTTTAATGAAAGCTGACTCAGCTGTTTTACTGTCTGTGCTTCCTTTCTGAACACAGTGAACATCTGTAACATCAGTCTTATGTTACACTGCGTTAAAGTCTCATTTTTCTGTCTTTATTACCGGATTTAAAGGTCCAGTGTGAAACATTTAGGAAGATCTACTGGCAGACACTGAATATAATATAAATAGGTTTGTTTTCATTAGTTTATAATCACCTGAATATAATATAATATAATATAATATCATATCATATCATATCATATCATATCATATCATATAATATAATATAATATAATATAGTGTAGTATAATATAGTCCTGAGTGAAACAGGAATTTCCCCCACTGAGGATGAATAAAATGAATCATCTTCTTCTAATGTGCCTGTTTATTTAGCGACCGGTTCTCGTATTTATATATTTATTTGATCTAACTGTACAGGGAAAGAAAGATGGTTTTGGTTTCTCCACAGCGGCAGTGTTACATGTTTGGAGGATTATATCCTATTAAATTAAACCTGTAGTAAAATCTTTTATAATTAAGAGTTTTACTACAAAAAAACAAACATTGTGACCTTAAAATCTATCTGCAGGCAGGATGCAGGTTTATTTCTAATAAGGAGACACAACTCAGAGTGCATTGCTCCTTTAACTTAAGTTTACTTTATTAAGGCTTCTTCACTTAACTGTACTAGATTGTGTTAGTTTATTCACCTGTCAGCATTATCACAGGTGGAAAAACACATTTATTAACTTTTATTTATATATATTTAATTATGATTTCCTTTTTAAATTAAATAACAGGATTTCAGATGCTGTATAACTGCACTGTGAGTTATTCTGCAGTGTTTACACTGATTATTTCGAGCCGATACAAATATTAAGTTGCTTTTCTTAAATTCATTGTTTGTTTGTAATTGCTCCATTCGTCCAGAAGGAGGGGATGTTGATGCACATTTTGGGATTGCTGCTCTTTCACTCGCCATTCTCTCTCATCTCCACGCTTCCTCAAACTGTCAATACAAAAACTAATGTATCATCCTAAATGTACCAGAGGCGACATAATAACAAGTTTAACTCACACCATTACCCACAATTACACCAACCAAGAAGCATTATTGTTATTGCATAAAGAAACAACTTACTTACATACAACTATAACCGCATAGTTGACTTCTGGTGTTGTCATGGAAACGTGTAAACACCAGTCTGAAGACTGCACCCTGCACAAAGGTGATACCTCCCACCTTGATGTGAACCATGCTGCATGACGGGATTAGAGGAAGTGGTTTTGCTATCTGACCAAATAAATCTCAAATACTAAACAAGATTACAGTCCCCAAACCAGTTCCCCCATGGAGATAAAGAGACATTCAATATCACGTTCATGCGGTCAACAGTGTGATTACATTACATTTCATTAATAATATTACTGTTACCCCCAAAACATTTGACAGTATTACTTTTGTTGTTACCACCAACAGTTCAGATATGGAGTCTCTGTCTGTCTGTCTCTCTCTCTCTCTCTCTCTCTCTCTCTCTCTCTCTCTCTCTCTCTCTCTCTCCTATTTTCCCATTTCCCTATTTCTCTCTCTCTCTCTCTCTCTCTCTCTCTCTCTCTCTCTCTCTCTCTCTCTGGTGTTAGGTTGGGCTTCAGGACCCAGCAGGGACAGATTTAGAGTCACTTCTACACGTGTCCAAAGTTACAGTAAGATTACGCACAGGTTCCAAGCATAAAGAGGCAGATTGTTTTCAGAGGATTTTATTTAGATTCCTCAATATGAACGATATTTCATTTACACTTCATCAACATCAACAGATGACAAAGCAACTAAACCTGTACAACGACAGCAGCATGTGGGGTATTCCCGTTCGAGTCTTGAGGAGGATTCTCACTGTTCAGAGGTTTCAGAGCCACACCTGAATATTGAAGTCCTCCTGTGGGTCCAGATGAGCAGCGGGACTTCAGGACAGCCCAGAGACGCGGGAAAGCAGCATAAATAATAACAATTATACTACTACTAATAATAATAATAAGTAACACCACAGCTGCTATGCCGATTGGCTTCCAGATCCCTTCCTTCTCAGTAGCGCACTGTGTGGGCTGAGAAAGGGGACAATGAAAGAGACAGATTCAAGTTACAGTCCAAACACATCGTTGCGTTATACCAGAGGAGTTGTGCATGAGACCTGAGAGTGAGACACTTACAGTGTGCGGTGGGTGAGGGGTCGTCTGATCCGGGTTTCTCTTGGTGACCTTCATCCTCACAGCAGCAGGGTCTCCCCACCCCTCTCTCACGTCCCCCCTGTGCGCAGAGCAAAAGAAATCCCCTCCATCCTCCAGCCGGACCTGATCCCACATCAGAGACCAGTCTCCGTGTTTGTGGCCATCAGCCGGCAGAGACACTCTTCTCTCAAACCCGGTCCCGTATTTGGTCTTTCCAGTGGCCAGATTGCGCTCCAGCACAGTGTGTCCGTTTCTTTCCCACCGTATAGAGTCCACATGTCCCCCTGCAGGACTGAAGTAGCACGGTAGTTGGACCGGTTGTCCCTCAGTGGCAGATGCTTCAGAGCCCACAACAACATTCAGCTGGACTCTTTGATCCCGGCTGCCGCAGGTGAGCTCATAAAGTCCAGTATCTGTGTAAACTGAGCGACTGAAGGCGAAGCAGGAGTTCACATCCACCCTGTCCTTGTAGTCCTCGGCCGGTTTGCAGACACCGTCCTCACGAGCAGCCACCGGCCGGTTGCTGTGCTCTGTGACCCGGTAAAGTCTGTCTACCGGCTCATTCAGACAGTTCCCGATTACTGGGAATGACACCGGGTCTCCCAGAATCACATGCACAGGTTCTCCAAAGCCCACAGGGTAGAAGAGGAATGCGAACAGGAGTGAGAGCCGTGACATCATGAGCTCTGACTGTCTGTTAACAAAGCTCTCTTGAAGCGTGACTGCTGGTCTCTGCCTGTGTGTGTGTGTTTTTCAAGCTCTGTGCTGTCACGCCCCTGTTGTGGGCGTATTCTGAGGATGTAGCAGCTAAACAATGTCCACTGTGTGTGGATGACTTATGTGCGTCGTCGGTGCGTCCAAGGTCAAAAGCAAACAGGTTTGATAATTGAATATAGCCATATATCTGCCATAACAGTGAGAAACCAACTAAGTGAACAAGACTTTTCTTTCTTTCTTTCTTTCTTTCTTTCTTTCTTTCTTTCTTTCTTTCTTTCTCTTTCTAGAGGCTTTTTTGCTTTTCTGAGCATGATACTGTTTGGCGGCCTCTGTAGACGGGTACAAATGGATACATCGAGTTCCGCCTTGTTTTAGTTTTGTGCAAAGTTTCGTGGGCAAAAAATTAATAATAACGGACAATTCATTAATAATGTCCGACAACCGCATTATCACAGGTTCAAAAAGACATTTATAGAGTTATTGTCCGTTAGAGCAACTCTGAAATGGTCCAGGATTTCATTTTGATAACCATTTTTAAATAAATAACAGTATGTCAGATGATGTATAACTGCACTGTGAGTTATAAAACAGTTATAATATACTATTATTGCTTTTCTTAAATTCATGGTGTGTGTTTTTATTGCTCCATTCTTCCCGATAGAGGGAAAGTTTATTGCACATTTTGGGTTAATCTTTAAAAGGAAGTTTTAATGGGAGTAAAGAAAATTGGTCACAGTTTATAATAATTAATTAATTAATAATAATAGGCGAAAAATAGTATTTCAACTGCTCCCGTGTTCCTAGGGCCGACATGATTCACACAAAACGACTCTTTAAATCGTGGCTGTATACAGACCTGTTCTGTTCTTACCTAAATATATTTAAGTTTGTTGTTTTTTTAAATTAGGTTTTATATTTCTTAAGTTATTTATGTTGCACATTTTTAATTACAGAGTCATTTTATTGAATAATTGAGAGAAGCATGCATTCACTTTGTCGATTAGGGCTCTTCTCCCAACACAACACAACAAGAACAAAACACATTTTTATACACATAAAACGCATTTATAACGCCTTTCTAGTTTCCCCACCATCAACGCGCTGTACACACACATTGTAGCTCTAACTCTGAGCCACAGCCGCCCTGAATGAATGATCTTATCACATTGTTGTAATTTTTTTCATCATTTATTTTTTTTGTTGCCTTTTATATTGCCTTTAATTGATAGTGACAGCTGAAGACAGACGCTCCAAAAACAGGGCTGATAATGAAAAATGTCATCGTCAGGCAGTCTTACAGAGCCGGGAAATTACCCACAATGTAACTTACTGCCCAAACACTGCCACACCCGACTGCTAAGTGAGAGTGGGTGGCACATTTTCATGCGGGTGGACAGTGTGTGGTGACAGTCGATCCCTCATGTCTGCTTTGTACCTGTGAAAAACCTGCGTGATATGCAGGGACACAAAGGGTGTGTTCCTTCTGCGAGGGAAACTAGTGACTAGTCCTAGTGATTTAACAAAAAGATGTGATAGTTTCCACCACATATATCTGAGAGAATGTATCAAACAAACACAGTGTTGACTGATCAGATTTGTGTCAGTGTGTGGTCACATCAGGACCCTGCTGCTGTTCAGCTGCCACACAAACACTTAAAGGACAGAGACAAACGTTAAACTCCTGATTCTACTGGATTATCTTATAGTTTGTAACACGAAAATAATCTTCCAAGATCTTCCCTGATCATAGATCACAAAAAGAGTACATTTACTGAAGTAGGCTGTAACTCTGAAGTACTCGAGTTGCTGTATACTCTACTCCTCTACATTTCAGAGGAAAATATTCTACTTTTTATTTGTCAGCATTACTTTACATATTAAGGTATTAAACCAGCTGTAACACTAAAATGCTGCGTATGTGCTAATGTAGGCAGTCAGTAGTAATATAGCAGTACATAAGACACTATAGGCTCTGCCCTTTACACTGAATATTTCAGTGGTAGCCGATTTCTTCCTGAGTAAAAGATCTGAGCATCCTACTTCTTCCAGCACTGATCTCATCAAATCCCCTCGTGAAACAGTTTAATGTTGCTTTAAAAATGTCGTCTAGTAGTTAGGTTTCTCTATTAAAACAACAAGGTGTCTTTCTGTTCCAGAGTCAAATGTCCTTGTTTGTTATCACTTATAGTAACTGGCTCCTCACATGTGACCACTTGCTGTAAAACATTAGGCTGTCTGCAGTGATATTTCTCTGAACCTGACTGATCTTCATGATGAGCTGCAAAACATTACCTTTTATGGAAATGTAAAGTTGCATCAGGGCCTCATATTGTCCTCAGGGTGTAAATAAGGAAGTGTTAAGATGGAGCAAAGGGTGAGGCTGCTGACAGACAGGTGGTTTACCCAGACAACCTTCACTCTTTTGGGGAAGAAAATCCAATGAGTGAGACTGCTAATGATGTAAGGCAGCTTGAAAACAACAAGGCAACAAAGCAAAGCACCAACAGAATTTAATGCAGCCATACTTTGTTCCCCCTGTTTACTTTCACTGTAGAAAACAGCTTGGGGCTTGTTGTTTAAACCACGTTTCTGGTTTCATACAGCCAGTCCCCAGCACAACTCTTCTCATAGAAGAGATGCTATGGAAAGTTTAGGTCTCCATGAAATCACTTCACTTCAAGTAGGTAGTATTATTGCTACTGAATAATTCCAGTGTGTCACCTGGGAGAGAGAGAGAGAGTTTTATTGTAACGCTGTATACACACATTATGTGTGTCTCACTAACCACATCTACAAAGGCGTATACATATAACTCAGATTTTACTATGTATATTATATCTTCTATTTTATAGAATACACACACACGAAAACATGGACAAAAGAGGATCGCATTTTCACAATTAGACATTTTATTGGCAGAGAAGCAGACAGATACAATAGTTAGAACAACATTAACATGTGATGACATTTAAACATATATACACAAGTCCATTTACCATTCATTCACAACCAGTTTAACCAGTTGTAACAATTTAAAAACACCATCAACAACCATTCCAGCTGGGCACTGAAAGCCCCCCATTAACCTGAGAACCAGGAGAGACCCCCCCACCCCCAGGGAGAAGTCCCATCTCCACATCTGTCTGTCTGCCATCACTGGATCCAGGTGGAACTTTTGATCTGCGGGATTTCAGGTACCGACCAACGAGGATGACTGTGACTGTGACTGCTGCTGCGAGTAAAAGCACCACACCAGCAATGATCCCAGTTCTCCTCCCTTCATCTTCAACGGCTCGCTGTGTGGACTGACAGACAATAAAAGGAAGTGAAATTCAGACCTGCTGACAGATACAGGTCTATAATGTGATCTCTGTAAGAAGGGAGGAATACTCACATTAACAGGTGGAGGTCTGAGGGAGGTCTGATTCAGCTTTATCCCTCCCGTCTCTCCCTCGGTCTCAGACAGGTTAAAGGCTGTAGAAACATTCAGGTGGATGAATGTGACAGGGTTATTGTCGCACATGAACTCGTACATTCCTTTCAGCTTGTTGTCTCTGAGGGTGACTCCGGTTAACTTGAGAGAAGATGAAGAAAGATGTTTAATCCGGTTTTTGTAATCCTCTCCTGGGGTCCAAACACCGTTAACGCGTGCTGCCACAGTCACACTGATATCTTCTGTCATCAGTTTGAACTCTTTCCCATCTGTGCAGTTATCACTGGCCGAAAACTCAACAGAGTCTCCCACGTTCACCACCACGGTCGCATATTTCCCCACAATACTCTTTACACTCACAGCAGCGAGTATAAAGCAGAGAAAGAGTAGAGCCGGTGCCATCGGTGTCAGTGCGGAGCGTCTTTACCGGTATGCAGGCTGAGAGTGAGAGGAGAGCAACGACCGTATCCGCTTTTACTTCTTAGAGCATTGATGACAGTGTTAGTCGTTTTACACATTGACAGATAGCCTACAGGTCTGTAACGCATGTGAGAGATTTCTTTGAGAAGTGCTGCAATTTGGTTGGCCCAATGTCTATTTTTGTCATTACTTATAGGAAGTGGTACCTCACCACTTCCTGGACAAGATCATACGTGCAGTTGCATCGGGCCTCGTATTGTCCTCAGGGTGTAAATAAGGAAGATAGTGGCAGAGTGCCTCACATTTAAGATGGAGCAAAGGGTGAGGCTGCTGACAGACAGGTGGTTTTAAAGCGGCCATGCGTTTCGTTTTTGCACATAAACGGTATTTAGGAAAGTAAACTGTTTTGCATTGTTTAGATTTCCTTTATAGGTGAACAACTGAGTAACAATTCACAAGTCGAGAGGAAAAAAATACACTATAGGCTATTTGACCTACTTTGGCACGCAGTACTATGAAACCTTACTGCACCCCCGCTTTATTATAACACCACATGGTTCTCATAGCACTCCCTGATTCCCCACTGCCATTGAACCAACAAGATAAATACATTGTTGTCTCTGAGGGTGAACTCCCACGTTCACCACCCAACAGCGAGTGCAAAGAAGACCAGTGCCATTGTATCAGCCCGCAGCATAGCTGTGTTTTAACAACACGAGTTTGCTCAAATAGTGGCATCGGCAGCTCACAGTGGCATTTCCCGTGGCAGGTTGAGATGCCACGGCATCTTTCGCCGTTTATGGGGTAAAACGGTGGCAAACAAGGGCTGTGTCTGAAATTACCGACTGTTTGTAGCATCTGAGATACCGACATTAATAGTTTATAATTGTTACCACTTGGCAATATTAGACTTGGTAGCATTTCCATGACCCTATTTGTGCATTTTTTCTCATGGTTTCTTTGATTATTACAATATTTGATTTATATTACAGTCTGTTATGTTGCAGTGCTGAGGAAAGAAATCGGTGGTAGCCTATGTTTTTTTTTTTTATTTAAAATGTAATGTAAAATGGGTGCCCGGTTAGCTCAGTGGACGACCCATATACCGAGGCTGAGTCTCTGCTGCAGCTGCACACACAGTTTTTTATGGAAATGTGCAGTTGCATCGGGCCTCAAAAAAGGTTTCCTTGAGTGCTTCAGACAATAAATGTGAAACTGCTGACAGACAGGGGGTTAAAACCACATTTGCAACACGGGCGCAACAAGTCATCCCAACCCTTTTTCGGTGAAAGGTTTCCGTTGTCTATTTTTGTCATTACTTATAGAAACTGATTCCTCATCACCTCCTGTATACCCCCCCCACACACACACACACACACTTTAATATAACAACCCGTGTTCCTAGGGCCGACATGATTCACACAAAACGACTCTTTAAATCGTGGCTGTATACAGACCTGTTCTTACCTAAATATATTTAAGTTTTCTGTTTTTTTTTAAAATTAGGTTTTATATTTCTTAAGTTATTTATGTTGCACATTTTTAATTACAGAGTCATTTAATTGAATAATTGAGAGAAACATGCATTCACTTTGTCGATTAGTTGTACACACACACACACACACACACACACACACACACACACACACACACACGAAATAAACAAGAACAAAAGAACACATTTTAAATAATCAGAAGCCACTTTATTGGCAGAGATGCAGCTGAAGTGTTCTGGTACAGATACTTGTTTTTAAATAACTAATTCTAACATACTCCATACAGTTATTCACAGATTTTCATCAGCTGCATCAATATAAAACACCGTCAATAACTATTGGAGTTAGGCAGTGAAGGCCTCTTGTTAACTTGAGAACCAGCAGAGGGCCTCCTGTGTCGGTCTCCAACCACCAGTTGGCCCCTTTGCTCTGTCAGTGGCTCCCAGCTCTTTTCTCTTCAGTGGCTGTGTGTCGGTCTGCTACAGAGGAGAAAAGACAAAAATGAGGCTGGCTTTAGTTCTATATGACATCTATAGTCATTCAAAACAAACTGGATTTTATGTATTTTTATATAAACGTTGTCCCCCGCTGGGTTAAGATTACGCACAGGTTCAACCATACAGAGGCAGATTGGTTTCACAGGATTTGATTTACATTCCTCAATATGAACAATATTTCATGGACACTTCAACATCAACGGGGTCTCCCGACTGCACAGTGTCTCTGTGTGGGCCGCTGATAAATCTGTGACTGTTGGTTGACCCCGGCATGGTTAGAGTTTATATTTTAATCTAATATTTAGATCTTATTTTCAGCAGAATGGTGCTGTAGATCAGCACATGGTAAAATGATGAGAAAGCACATATAGTTCTTTTAAATTCATGCTGTTTTTAATTGCTCCATCAACGTTAACCGACAAGATTTATACATCGGAATTACTACCATAAATACAGACACTGTGTGCGTCGGCCATATCTGCCATAACAGTGAGAAACCAACTTAGTGAATAAAACTCTCTCTCTCTCTCTCTCTCTCTCTCTCTCTCTCTCTCTCTCTCTCTCTCTCTCTCTCTCTATTTCGGGCTTTGGAGACTGCCTTCACTCTTTTTTGTATACCAAAAGAATATAATACACCCACAAGTTGTTGTTTTTTTAGGGCGGGGCGGTAAAATGATATAGCGCCTCCTCTATCAGAAGATTTATGCAAAGTGTGGCTGGAGCGCGCTTTGGATTGGCTGTATGAAACAATATAAAGCCACCTGTCTCACCTGCGCGCCACATAACTCTCCTTCAAGCGCAGAGACAGCCACATTAAAGCTCCGCTATGCGCCTGACTCATACAACGGCGCTCTTCTTCATACTCGTGAGTGTCAATACTCTTGAGACTATTGTGAAAAAATATGTGACCGTGGGAGACTCTGTTGAGTTTCCGGCCAGTGATAACTGCACAGATGGGAAAGAGTTCAAACTGATGACAGAAAATATCAAAGTGACTGTGGCAGCACGCGTTGACGGTGTTTGGACCCCAGGAGAGGATTACAAAAACCGGATTGAACATCTTTCTTCATCTTCTCTCAAGTTAACCGGAGTCACCCTCAGAGACAACAAGCTGAAAGGAATGTACGAGTTCATGTGCGACAATAACCCTGTCACATTCATCCACCTGAATGTTTCTACAGCCTTTAACCTGTCTGAGACCGAGGGAGAGACGGGAGGGATAAAGCTGAATCAGACCTCCCTCAGACCTCCACCTGTTAATGTGAGTATTCCTCCCTTCTTACAGAGATCACATTATAGACCTGTATCTGTCAGCAGGTCTGAATTTATTTTTATTGTCTGTCAGTCCACACAGCGAGCCGTTGAAGATGAAGGGAGGAGGAATAAGATCATTGTTGGTGTGGTGCTTTCACTCGCAGCAGCAGCAGCAGTAGCAGTAGCACTCACAGTCATCCTCGTTGGTCGGTACCGGAAATCCCGCAGATCAGAAGTTCTACCTGGACCCGGTGATGGAAGAGCGACAGATGTGGAGATGAGACCTCTCAATGGAGAGGGGTCTCCTGGTCCTCTGGTTAATGGGGGGGCCTTCAGTGCCAAACTCCAATGGTTGTTGACTGTGTTTTTGAATTGTTACAATTTTTCTAAACATTAACAACATAACAACATATTATTATTATTATTATTATTGTTGTTGTTGTTGTTGTTGTTGCTGAATCTGTTTGGTTCTTTGGCAATAAAATGTTATTTTATACTTTATTACTTTTGTTCGTGTTTTCGTGTGTGTGTGTGTGTGTGTGTGGGGGGGGGGGGGAAACAAGACAATACACATGAAATAAACATAACATAGAAGATATAATATAGTTATATGTATACACCTTTTTAGATGTGGTTAATGAACACTGCACATATCGATCATTTCGACTACAGAGAGCACATAATGTGTGTAGCGTTAAAATAAAAATAAAAGTTGGCTACAAGAGTTTTAGCTTTTAAGCCCCTTTTTGGATGAAGTATGAAAGTATAACCCTGTTACCGACATATCAATTCAAGTTTAAAATGCTTTTAAATACATATTTAATATTAAAGATAAAATCCCCCTTGTGACACTTTATGTTATGAGAACAAAATAATAATACCCCAGTTTATTTGAGTGTATTAATGGTCTGGTAATTTCGTTAACAAATACAATTAATTACATTTACATTAATATTTAAATCTAAATCATATTAGAGTACAGCAGTTACCGTATTGTTACACTGCTCGTTAAAGTGACCTGTTATAGATAATATTGAGTTAATATTTAGTTATAAATCTTTAATTTAACCTGACTAATCAGATTATTTTGGTGACAGCTTTATTGTGAGGTTTTAACACAGAATATGTGTATATTGTTATTATTAGTATTATTAATTATCAAGGTCTTGTTGTCTGTATTGTCTGTGTTTTTCACTTTCTATGAGGGAGATAATGAACATGTTTAATTCTGCAATATTGTAACTTTGGGCGGCAGCCCCCCCCCGCCACGCCTCATGCACCATAGAAGAGTCCTGTGAGTCATACTTTGATATGTTTTGAAAAACAAAAGGTAGCCAAAGCCACAGGATTGTGGCATCATTTTGTCCTGTCAATCACAAGGACACAGTTTCAGCCTTATTATATTTATCTTCTCCTTCTGCATTATCACATCTATTTTTGGAGACTATATTGATGCAATCCATCACACCTGCTGCCTTCCAACATCTTCCCCAGCAGTCAGCCACACCCAGCACTCACAATGACACAGTGACACAGCGACATTAGTGACATACCGGCTTTAAAGAGCACAATAACTCTCTCAAAGCAGTTTATTTAGACACAATGCAGAACTGAGGAGATATAATATAACTGTAATATAACTTAAAGAACTTCAAAGTTACAGCCTACTTCAGTAAATGTACTCTCTTTGTGCTCTGTGATCAGGGAAGATAGTTAATCTCTGTCCTTTTGTACACCCGTCAGAGAATGAGGGTGTTATACAAACACACACACACTGACACTGACACTGACATGATCAGTGTGTTTGCTTGAGCGGATTTGGATAAACATCAGGCCATGTTAACACGTCATCTCAGGTGTACCGTTAACTGCCACACCTCTAACCCACTAGAACATTCTAGTGGGTTAGAGAGAGTTCTAGAGTTGACACAGGGTGATGACACAGGGTGTGTCCCTATAAGCGGTGTACTTCAGTGCCATCATCTGAGGCCCCAAAACTACCACTCCTGTTCTCTTTGAGCGAGAAGTTATGATACAGTGAGATGTTAATAAATCTTTTTCCTAAAAACCATGGCCGCTATAAAACCACCTGTCTGTCAGCAGCCTCACCCTTTGCTCCACCTTATATGACCTTGTCATTGTGTGTGTGTGTGTGTGTGTGTGTGTGTGTGTGTGTGTGTGTGTGTGTGTGTGTGTGTGTGTGTGTGTGTGTGTGTGTGTGTGTGGGACGTGTGTGTGTAGGTTATACCCTCCTCCTCTGACGGGCTGGTTAAAACCTACACACACACACACACACACACACACACACACACAGAGGCTAAAATATGATGCATCCTTACAGATAGCCTTTATATTTTACATTAGCTTCAATTGACCCGCTGTAACAATAAAAGAGGGTTCACACTGAGTATTTTCACAGCATATTATTAAATATAGTCTTTGGGCACAAACGGGTTATGTGTGAGAATTTAGTGCAGCCATACTTTGGTTGTTCCCCCTGTTTACTCAAGGTTTGATGTTCACTGTGGTCTACAGCTCTCAAGAACCACGTTTGGTTTGAGTCTGTTTAAACCACCAGAAGGATAAACCAAGTCTCTGAAATGGTCCAGGATTTCATTTTGATTTCCTTTTTTAAATAAAGCAATCCAGCATTCAGTATCTGGGAATAGGAAGTGGTATTTCTAAGAAATCTTAAAGCAGCAATACCATAAAAAGTCATATTCACAATGTGTGATTGCTAAAGTCATCAAACCAGTTCCCCCATGGATTCAATGTGCAGTACATCATTGTAATAATATTACAATAATAATTTTACTTTCGCGTGGAACTAATTACTAATATATTTCAGAGAGCTGTAGACCACAGTGTACATCAAACCTTGAGTAAACAGGGGGAACAACCAAAAGTATGGCTGCACTAAATTCTCACACATAACCCGTTTGTGCCCAAAGACTATATTTAATAATATGCTGTGAAAATACTCAGTGTGAACCCTTTTTATTGTTACAGCGGGTCAATTGAAGCTAATGTAAAATATATGTTACCTCCAAAAAACATAATTACTGACAGTATTACTTTTATTTTTAGTTACAACTCATGTGTGTTCTCCTCTTCTTTGTCCAGCCTTGAGCCGGGTTGTGACAAACAATCCAATCACATCCTTGGATTAACTTTCGTAACCTTTGAGGAAGCTACGAAAAAGATGGAGCCTCTCTCTCTCTCTTACATATTAAGATATTTAAAATTACACAATATGTGACATGCATGTATCCTTACACAGTAAAAGGCTGCCTCTGTGCTAATGTAGGCAGTCAGTAGTAATATAGCAATACATAAGAGACTATAGGCTCTGACTTTTACACTGAATATTTTAAGTGTTAAGTGGTAGCCGATCTCTTTTCTGAGTAAAAGATCTGAGAATCCTACTTCTTCAACTAGAACTTGAACTTGAAGGGTGGGGCTGCTGACAGACAGGAGTTTTTTTTTTTTTGTTTGTTTTTTACAACACAAACAACACTGTTTAAATAGAAAAGATTAAATAAATCTACAATAACTGACCAATGATGTTTCCCTCCAGCAACTGTCAGTTTGAGTCCAGTCCAGAATAAAACAGATATAATAATCAATATATAATTATATATAGATATAATAATATATCTATATATAATATATGAATAATATATGAATGTGAGCTGAGACACTGTGTCAAAAGCAACTTAGTGAACACTCTAAGTTAAGTCACTCTCTCAGATTCCACCTCATGAAGACAAACATACTGACATCACACCTGCTGCCTCCCAACATCTTCCCCAGCAGTCAGCCACACCCAGCACTCACAATGACACAGTGACATTAGTGAGATACCGGCTTTAAAGAGCACAATAACTCTCCCAAAGCAGTTTATCTAGACACAATGCAGAACTGAGGAGATATAACTATAATATTACTTTGAAGTACTTTACTCGAGTAAAGAACTTCAAAGTTACAGCCAACTTCAGTAAATGTACTCTCTTTGTGCTCTGTGATCAGGGAAGATAGTTTGAATACTCTTATTGGATTATTTGATATACTGTTTTTATGCGTGCTTTTAGTAGATTATTTGAGATATTGGTTTTATGCATAATGACTGTTGTGTTGTGTGTAATTTGCATGCTTTTATACTTGTAGATTGTTTTACTACTTTTAGCATGAGTTTGTTTGTTTTACGGAGTACTGTGAACTGACCTGGGAAGTCACGGCCCAACATAGCCGGAGGCGGCACATAAAGAGACTGGAGATGGAAGGCATGGCAGAGACGGACAGAACCGGTGAACGGAACGGGTAGACACCTCCGGGGACAGCAGCAGCTACAAGTACAGAGCAACCCCCGGACGACGAGCGGCATTGAATCAGGGCTCCCCAGAGAAATCAGGGAACGCCAGGGAGGCGCAGTCGGAAAGGACGCCATAGCACGCCAAGAGGACCGACGGCGGAGGCCCGGACGCTGGTGCCGAGCAGGCGGACCAAAGGTTGCTGGCGACTGTAGACTGTGCACGAGGGGATGCAGTATAGTATGGACAATTATGGACATTCATTTTTAGTATTGTTTTAGGTGGCACCACCTTTTTAGTATAATAAACCCTTTTAAATGACTTTTATTCTCCTGATGGTTTTTTAACTCTACCACTCCTGTTCTCTTTGAGCGAGTAGTTATGATACAGTGAGATGTTAATAAATCTTTTTACTAAATACCTTTTTATCTGCAAAAACGACACACGTGGCCTCTTTAAAACCACCTGTCTGTCAGCAGCCTCACCCTTTGCTTCACCTTAAATGTGAGGCACTCTGCCAGTAGCTTCCTTATTTACACCATGAGGGTAACAATAGGAGCCTGGGGCCCTTCAGGCTGAGAAACCTGATCCACAGACTTTATCCTGAGGATGGGAACCGCTTACAGACTCACACATAATCAATTTGCACCCAAACACTATATTTAATAAACAGGCTACCACTCTACTTTCTAAATTACTCAGTGTAAAAAGACAGAGCAGTTCCCTCTTTTATTTAGTTACAGCGGGTCAAAGTGAAGCTAATGTAAAATATAAAGACTATAATCTGTAACGATGCATCATATTTTAGCCTGTGTGTGTGTGTGTGTGTGTGTGTGTGTGTGTGTGTGTGTGTGTGTGTGTGTGTGTGTGTGTGTGTGTGTGTGTTCCTGAGCAAACACTTCGCCCACCCCTCCTCCACACTGTGGTCTGCGTTTGGCTCTGAGTCATCACATCTAAGAAACATAATTCATTTGAAAAGCTCATTTCAGTTTGATATTATCTCAGTTACTATCTATTTTTAGAAAATGTAATTTCATTTAAATATGTTGTGAATGTATACTATGCAACCAGTGAGTAATACCAAGAAGAGGAATGCAGATAGGTAATTCAGATCATTGTCTGTGTGGTTTAATGGTATGTCGGTTTGTCTGTTGGTAAGCCTCGGGGCCTCATCGCGCTCCTCTTCCTCATTCAATACAGACGAGTGAAGGAAAGAGCTGACTCAGGGTATGTCCCTGTGTGTGTCCCCTCCCTCCGTCCGTGTGCCTCTAACTACTGTATCTGTCTGCTTCTCTGACAATAAAATGTCGAATTGTGAAACTGTGATCCTCTTTTGTTCATGTTTTCGTGTGTGTGTATTCTATAAGATATAGGCCTAATATACGGAGTAAAAAAAGAGTTATATGTATAGTCTACACCTTTTTAGATGTGGTTAATGAGACACATATAATGTGTTTATCGTTATTTTATTTCCATATAATCAACATGTAGCTACAGGTAACCCTGTTACCGACATATAAATTAAAATTTTAAATGCTTTTAAATATATATTTAAAACAAATCTGATGTAATATTAAAGATAAAATCTCCCTTGTGACACTTTATGTTATGAGAACAGAAAGAATAATACCCCAGTTTATTTTAATGTATTAATGGTCTAATTTCGTTAACAAATACAATTAATTACATTTACATTTAAATCTAAATCATATTAGAGTACAGCAGTTACCGTATTGTTACACTGCTCGTTAAAGTGACCTGTTAGAGATAATATTGAGTTATAAATCTTTAATTCAACCTGACTAATCAGATGTCTCTCTCTCTTTCTGCCTCAGTCTCAGCACAGACACAGTTTTTTAAAATTATTTTGATGAGTCATTGAATGTGTTTGTACCTCTACCAGCAAAGTTTAATGCCACTTCAGTCACTGTATATGTGGCAAGTTGTGTATAACAGTTTATTTTCCGTTTAACATGATTCATTTGATGTTATCACAGTTTTTTATAGTATCTATTTTCAAAAGATGTAATTTAATTTATGGTAGTTCAACATTCAAGCCAACATTAGATGATAACTAACGTTAGCTGAACACAGCTGTCTGTCACCTTCGATGATTTAGGGCGAGCTGGTTTTTTTTTAGGACTTTTTTATTAATTCTGTGAGGGGGTTGCTGTTTCGTCCTCCATTCTGCAATGTGTTGGTCTCCCACTTGTGTGTGTGTGTGTAGATTTGTGGCGAAACGTCAACGCAAAAATTTCGCTACAGGCCCAGTAAAACGGGAGAATAACAGAAAGCTCTCTTTCTTTCTATCTTATCAACCAGCTCACCCACCAATAACATAGCAAATTAACTGCTTGAATAAATCAATGAACACAGCAATGTTTTAAACATAGTGGAGAAATCAGCAAACATATGAGGCCGTAAGATAAAAACTTGTGACCACAAGATAAGTAGAATAATATTTCCTTTTGGGGACTTCAGGGGATCCGTACAATACATTACTTTCGAATTCACTATATATATATATATATATATATATATATATATTCATTATGTTTATTTAAATATATTAGTGCTGGGCGTGTGACTTCTATCGTCTTCCAGCCTACTGAGAGCTGTCCCGACAGCCCGGACTCTCAGGAGACTCTCAGGAGTCACAGCTGAGCCAGCCCCGGGCATGGTCATTCAGTGCTGGGCAACATTAACATTTTTAATTAAGTTACGCAAAATTCCATAATGAATTCAAACGTAGTGTATTGCGCACTTTTATTTTAAAAGAATGGCTATATAAAGAAAAGTGCGATACCATTTTTCACTTATACACAACTTTACACTTCAAAAAAATAAGGTGGGTTTTTTTTAAACAGCAGTATTCCCTTTATATATATTTATATATATATATTTATTCCCAACATGTGTGTAAGTGTCCATCTAATGAAGCCATAGCTTGACGCTCTATCATCCCTCTCGTCCGTAACCACAAAAAATCCAGGAGACCACTTGTAAAGGTAAATTCTTTACTTTAAGTCAAAAAGGTGATAGAAAACAAGATCTTTTCCACTTACAAAATAATAAAAATCAATACACAGAAAAGGAGGGATAGATAAAGAGAGAAAGAGGTTAAAAAAAACTGTGTGGCTCCACCCGAATGGCTTAATTACCTATTTATTTAATTACGCCCCTAAACTCCGGGATCAATAAAGGACCAAACCTAAATAAGGTCGAAAACATTCCAATCAATTGCAAATAAAATGTACATATTTTAAAGTATTACCACACATTTTAAATCTAAAGAATCGTACAATTAACCTTTTGCATTACTGTAAATATTTGAAACTAATCAATGAACTGTGTAATTTAACCACTTAAACATCAACAAATGCTTTTAGGCTCCTACACAGTGTTTAACCAGTTGTAACAATTTAAAAAACACCCTTTACAACCGTTCGAGTTTGGCACTGGAGGGCCCCCATTAACCTGAGAACCGGGAGAGACCCCCCCCACCCCCAGAGAGAAGTCCCATCTCCACATCACCGGGTCCAGGTGGAACTTTTGATGATGTGCGGGATTTCAGGTACAAACGAAGCCACAGACAGAAGAAGATGAAGACAAGAACTGAAAGCACCACAATTGCTGCTATGGTCCCAGGTCCAATCCCTTGATTTCCAACGGGTCTCGGTTTGGGCTAAAAGGCAAAAAGGAAGTTAAATTCAGACCCCAAAAACCCCCAAAACTTACATATAACATTACCTTCATGTCCCAAAACGTGCATCCCTTCATTGGCCTCCAGTATAATTCAGAATCAGCTATAAGATCTTATTGATTATACGCCCCAGTTACATTACAGATCTCCTTGTTCCTCATTTCACTCATTTGCACTTCCCTCCTCAAATCAAGGCCTTTCATCCATTCACCGCTCTAACTGCAAAACTAAAAGTAACCATGCCTTTGCTGTTTTAACCAGTACATTGTGGAATAGTCTTCCTCAGTCACTCAGATTCACTGAATCTGTGGACTGTTCAAGTGGCAGCTCAAAACTCACCTCTACAGGCCTTTTTACAGATCTCCTTGTTGGCTTTCTCTTCTGTCGTCTCTGTGTTAATCTATCCTTCCCTCTTGTTTTTATCTTCCTTATGTTTGTATTTACATGCTCTATTTGTTTGCGTTTGTGTGTGTTGTTATGTTTATTTATTTGTTGTTTGGAAAGCACTTTTGATCTCTGTGTCAAAAAGGTGCTATATAAATAAAGTTTTACTTACTTACATATTGACAGATACAGGTCTATAACGCATGTGATCTCTTTGAGAAGGGAGAATACTCACAGTTACAGGTGGGGGTCTGCTGGTGGTCTGATTGGGGGTTTTCTTGTTGACCTTCATCATCACAGCAGCAGGGTCTCCTCTCGTTCTCGTTCCGGCTTTGTCGATGAAGCAGATGAACTGACCTTCATCCTCCAGCTGGACCCGGTCCAAAGTCAGAGAGAAGTCTCCGGTCAGCTTCCAGTCAGCCGGTACAGAAACTCTTCCCTCATACCCTGTCCCATTTCTGATCCCCCCGGAGGAAGGGTCCAGCTCACAGACCAGCTCTCCGTTTCTTTCCCATCCTATAAGCCCCACGGCCACACCTGCAGTAACGGAACGACACGGGAGCTCCACCGTCTGTCCCTCGGTCGCAGACAGGTTAACGGGGGTAACAACCTTCAGGTAGACGGGGTTGGACAGGACGCGGCGGCCGCAGGTGAACTCGTAGAACCCGATGTCGTTGTAGTTAACTCGGGTTAAGTTGACAGAAGACGATGAAACGGGTTTAATCCGGGTTTTGTAAACTTCTCCTGGGGTCCAAACCCCGTTCACACGCTGTGCCACCATCACGGTGTTATCGCGCGTCTTTAGTATGAAGTCCTTGTCCTCCGTGCAGTTCTCCGTCAAAGTAACGGAGTCTCTCACGTTGACATATATTTTACCCAAAACACTCTTTACACTCAGAACCGCAAAGAAGAGAATGAGTGGAGTCGGTGCCATCGCTGTGGGTGCGGTCGGAGCGCCCGGTCGACAAGATGTCCACCGACGGTGTAGACTATAGGGGTCACGTGTCTCGCGCAAGTGTAACTGGTGACTTTCATCCTCTTCCAGCCTACCACAGCCGACGGATGTGGTTATTCATTCAGAAGCAGAGAACCAGTTTGTTAGACCCTGGGATACCGCTGTGCTGTTATAATAGTAGTACTATTATACAGTTATTATAGCAAAAACTACAGGCTGCTATATATATGACTGTACTTTACTTACAAAGGTTGTATTAAAAAAAAGAGAAGTACAAACATACAAATTCGTGTGCCTGTACCCTTTTGTGCACAAAGGTGCAAAAAAGCCTAGTCGAACAAAAAGTATTTTTAGTTCGAGAACATAACTTTTTGAGATTTTTTAACGCTTTCCCTTTAAAACTCACTTTTATGCCTTTTGTGTCACTGCACACTTTTGGGCTCTGCTGCACAAAAGTGCGCAGTCACACAGGTTGGACACAAGGCGCAAACACTCAGATAGGGACACAGACTAATACATTATTGCCTTTACTTGAGATTGATATAGGCCTACTGTCACTGGTTTGATGGCAGTACTCACTCATACAGCATATATATAAATAAATAGTTCCCCCTGGTGGATATTTGTTGTGTCACAGTGTAGAGGATGAGAGCAGGCACAGAGTGAGTTTGTCTTTGAATGGTTGTGAGCAGGAACATATAACACAGAGGTCATATGGGACATTTATTATAACTGATTTATTACTGAAATGGTATATTATTGTGAAGTTCTGCATTGTTGGTTGTGCAATCAGAAACACACCCACACAAAGTAAAACACACATTTCTTTCCAACTCAGGCTGCAAGACACTGAATTATTTAGATTTTTTAAAGACACAGACACCAACTCAAACTTTTAAAGTAAAATAATCTTATTTTGGTCTTTGGCCTACAAACTGGAGGGTTTGAAATAAGTTGGCATTTGGCAGGTCAGTCTGAGGGAAGTAAACTGTACTCACCAACAACGGGGGGGCCACATCCTTTCATGATCCGGCTCTCCAGTTCAGAAAAAAAATGTGTAATATCCTTTTTCGGTGAAAGGTTTCCATTGCTCATTTAATCCTGAAAGAGACTTCCTGTAATATCCTGAATATTGGGATCATCCCGTCTGTGCACAGGGTTGTAAAGAGTCTCCAGAGTTCACACATTGAGTGAGGGTCTTCTGTGGCAGGATGACGTCCTGTCCGACTACTTTAACTGGCTGGTGTGAGCTCATCTCTTCAGTTTCTCCTGGGGAAAAACAGACTTTGCATGAGGGACAACTGTGACAGCACTATAGTACACATACATACATATATACAGATATATATACAGATATATATGCATGTAATAGGTGAGGCTTTAGGACCCAGCACATGCTCACTGACAGAGTGATGTCAAAAGAGGGAGTGTCAGTAGGAGGTGCTTAGGTAAGAAAAGGCCAAGCTGCCTGTGGAAGGCCTCTTTTATTTTCACCTCTTGCTTGAGGCACATGAGCTCTAGGGTAAGCGGTGATTATTAAGTGTCAAATGTCAGATTTATATCTTTCTTAGTAAAGCTGATTTCAACATATCCCTCTCCACTCAAATACATGGTTGTTGAAACTCAAAGTACTTTATAAGTCATAGTTTTATGCTTTTAAAGTGGCGTCACTGCAGCGTTGTGAGGTTTTTTTATGAAGTCAAATTGCCTAACTCAACAGAAAAAGCTGAGGCTGCTAATGTATTTCCTTATTTATGCCATTAAATATTAGACTGTAAATACTGGCTGACTGGCTGAATGGGTTGTGTGAACTTAAATTTCTGGTATTTATTAAGAAAAGTGGATGAGAAATTGATGTAAAATTTATATTTGTATTATTATACGCTGATGATGTGCTCCGGCTACTTTGTCTGTGTCTGTATTTTTTAACTCCAGTCCAGAGCCGGTTGTTGTCCACCGAGTTTCTCTCTGTTTGCTTTTTCATACTCATAAAAGAGAAATAACACTGGTCCTCCTGTTCTCTCCTCTGTAGGGTTTCCTGGTTGCAGTCAGTGGGGACGGTTTCCTGTGGCGCTTGATTTTGCATTGGATGTTGTTAGGGTGTGGTCACCTGTAGGTTGAGTATGTTGACTGTGTTCTCTCTCTTCAGCCTCTTTCAGTCAGACCAGCAGATAATAATACTAACAATAATAGTTTATGATGAAGTAAAACTGCTTGTAAGTGCTTGAACTACTGTATTTGTTCACAACTAGATGTTGTTGTTAATAAATATGTGCTACATATCTTATTTTATAAATTAAACCTACAATAAGGGACACAATACAAAATTCCTACAAATGAGGAACAAATGAGGAACAAACATAGTTAATGCGTAACCCCTAATCAAGTTTTATAGAGTATAATGATTAGTTAATTAGTTAAGAAATAAGAAACAATCCAAGAAACAAGTGAGGAAAGAATCAGGGACAACTTAATAACTGATGAATTGTTAATTACTAATTCCTGGTAATTCCTAATGGAGGACTGTATAGTATATATAGTAGATAATGTTGGGTTACTAGAGAACAAACTGGGAGATCCTATATTAATGAATCATTAGGTCATGATTAGCTCATTTATTTGAACTGATACTGATCACTTTCTTTATGTGAACCAGCCGATAAACTAACAACTCATTTATTATTTATTACTAAAAACATTAGTTAGTGTTGTGGCCCCTAAAGTAAAATGGTGCACTATACTGGAGGTTACAAATGAATTATTAATTGAGAGAATAATACTTTAAGATAATGCAAGTGATAGGGTGATATGAATGTTGGTGTTTTTTCCAGGCAGCCCTTTTATAACTGCTTGTTGGCTTTAATTCATTCATTAATATTAATACACAGAATTACCCTTAGTTTTCATCTTCATTTCTTCCTTTAGTGCTACTTTTACATCATTTTGTCCTGTTTCACTTTAAACAATTTAGCCTACTATTGCCATAACAGCCACAAAGCTAAACTTTGAACCCATAAGCAAACAGTTGAAACAGCATATAACATTATCAGTAAAAAATACAGCACATCATTTGTGCAGGAAATCAAACAAACTTAAAAATCTATCAGTTCCAACTTCTCTGAATGCTTTCGTTATTTGTCTGTCTGACATATTCAAATATTTCTCTCGCAACCAGGAAAATGCTCGCTTAGGCTACTTGTCCATTCTCTTTAAATAAAAACAAATTACAATATAGAAAGCTGAACAAAAATGCCAACCAGCGATAGCAAAAATATATTAAAAGTAAAATTGATTTACCTGTTGAGTCACTGATCAGTCGAAAGATGGTACAAAACCTGCGTAGGCAGCTGTGCAAACATTTACTGTAAATGGTACGCACTTGCTCTACCTGTACTACAGGTTTCTTTTGTTTTCCGTCTCCCTGCCTGTTTCCTCTCTCTGTTATTTCCCTCCCGTATCCAAGCTCTGCTCCTCCCCAGCCTGAACAACCCATCACCAATCCCAGCTGACTTAATTGGTATTGTTTTGATTGGGGACTACTTAAAATGACACATTCAAATCTGTCTCCCCTGTGTTCTCTCCAGTTGGTTGTTTCCAGCTGTGCACTCTCGTCTTGCTGCTAACTAGTTCAATACACCTGGAGCTGGTCAATCATCATCTTTCAGATCTACTGCTGTTGTTGTTTTCTGTGAGAAAACTAAAACAATAGAGGTAGTGGTAGTTTGTGGTCCCCTGTGTATTGCTTCAGTCACTTAGTTCACTTTCTGTTTCAAACCACCAGACGCCTTTTTCATTTCAGTGCATTCTCACTTCCTCTAAACAAAGTTTTTCATTGTGTTCTGTACTCTCAGGGAATATATTGCGCCAAACTCCCTTTAAGAAACATGTCATTTTAACACTGCAGTATGCGTCCATAACGACACCTAACTCTAGAAACACAAGATAAAGTGCCTCATATGTCCACTGTCCGACTGTCAATTCGGCATCAATATAATCAATAAAGATCAACTTTTTGCACAGCCTCCGTCGTAAGTGATGTGTAAGTGATGAGAGGCCCATAAATAATATAAATAAGTGCTGACTGGTGGATTGAATATATGCTGAGTTGTGTATGTGTTGGTATCTGAGGAGGTTTTTTTGTCTGTTACCATAGCAACTACCAGTATAAAGGGGAAATGTCATTAAGGGATGTGGTTACTAACTGGTAAGTGAAGTCTAGTTTTGTTATATTGTTCTACTTTGTTTTCCAAACTACCTTTATCCCATCCTCCCTCCCACTGTGATAACCTTTGTTATATGTCTGCTTGTATTAAATTGTGAATAAATCACTTTGTCACTTTGAACCTGCAAGTTTTTTTTTTTTTTTTTTTTTTTTTTTTTTTTTTTTTTTTTTTTTTTCTTTTTTTTTTTTGTGTTCCGGGGGAGGGGGGTATCCATTTTTGTCCTCCTTTATAAAGGGGAAGCTGCCATTACAGTGACAAAAGACAGTAGAAAATAAGTTTAATCTCAAGATAAAGAAATAATTAACGAGTGATCTCAAGATAAAGGCATTAAAGATATTCGCGGCCTATAAATGCTTCTGTCAGTGTTTTTAAAAAAAGCTGCAGTAGGTAGGAGGTTTATGGACATATTTCTTGCTATATCCTGACAGTCGTACATGAGACAGATAATCTGTGAAAAAATCAGGTTCCTCAGGCTCCTAATGGCGTTATTAAGACTCCACCGGGCCTGAACGAAAACAACCAATCAGAGCCGAGAAAGAAAGTTACTATGGAGGCTCGGCTATCTTCAAGCCACCAACCTAAAAGCATAACATGTGGTAATGATCTTATTTGAAGGGGTTGGTGAAGACTTGAACCTGGGCACTGGGTTTGACAGCAGCAAGAAAGAGTAAACGCCCTCTGTCATATCTGTCTCTCCTCTGATTGGTTGTTTGGGTTCAGGCCTGTTGGATTCTTGCAGACGCCATTAGGAGCGCTAGGAGGAACCAGAGGAAGCTGATTTTTCCACAGATGATCTGTCTCATGTTCGGTCAGGATATAGTGAAAGTTTAAACAAATGTGACAAAAAGTTATTTTCTTAATAAAAGTGACCTACTGCAGCTTTAAACTACAATCAGACTTTATTCTTTGCTTCAGTCAGAGCAGTGATTTTAAACCTGAACCGCCTTCATACACAAATATCACTTAGTAGAAACAGTACTTCTGTTATGTCTCATGATCTCAGTGTCAGATTACCAGTCCGTGGGCGGCGGTACACTGCGCATGCGCGAGTAGAACAGGCGAGAGAGACGGAGAGAGGAGACCCGAGAGTGGGGTCATTTGCATACCGAGATAAATCCACTCTTTGATGAAGCACAAAGCGGCTGAACACAGAGGAGAGAACCAGATTTTGGGATTTATTGACTCTAGAATCGACCTCCACAAGCGACACTTGTTAGAGGGCCCCTTATTTTCTTTTGGGGTGTATTGGGCCCTCTCTTCAGCACCAGCAGGCTGGCAGCTCAGTGGATGGGACCAATTTTTAAGTTTTAGACACTCTTTTCTTTTTTTTAAACTCCTGCATTAGATATGTTTTGTGTGCGTGTTTGTGTTTTTGCCGTGCGTCTTTTCCTGGTGGCCGCCGCCCTCCTGTCCTGTTGCGCAGGTTTGTATGAAGTTGAAGATTTGTGTCTCGTTTATCTGCGTTCCTGTGGTTTGGACTTAAGTGTATTGTTTATGAAAGCGACTGTAAAGAAATCTGCTCCCATTGCGTGGCGGAATAACGTCCACTGTGAAGCTGAAAGCAGTAAGGGATAAACTGGGTCAGTGGGTAACATGACACCTCAGTGCCAGTGTAAAATAATGGGGCGTTTCTGAGATCCCAACCTCAATATCGTCTTAATATGAGACTCTATAAGGAGACTGGGAATGGGAATCGAACCGTATGCATTAATGTGTCTGTATTACCATATGTCATGCACTTTGTTCTAAGGCTGCACGATTAAACACAATATTGTCAAGTGCGATATCTAAATGTTTTTAGATAATGGTGTGAGATTATTATGTAATATTGTAGTTCTAAAGAGGCGCCCTGGACTACAAATCTTGTTCTCCAGATTGAAGGAAACATGTTTGTTTGCTACAGACCCCTCCTCAAAAAAATGTCCCATCATCATGATTTTAATCCCTTATTTTGTCAGTGAAAATTTAATTTGTGACGCAAACATCTTTCTAAATAATGGCAATATGATGTTTTTAACATACTGCAACCCCCCTACTTTCTTCGAACCCCACTTTCCCCAGAGAAGAGGGTCAGAAATGGATTCAGCATCCGTAATAACACCCAAAACCCCCCGACAATAGGTGATGCACATTATGCAAATTGACCAACATGCCAGTTAGAATCAACTAAAAATCAAGTGCTGTTCCCACAAACATTTCTAACATTAAACTTTAGGGTGCGCCACATTTCCGGGTTCCCATAGTGCTTCTATTGGCTGGCAAATCTGTTGACAATAAGAAAAATATAAATTTACCACCATGTTTTGTGTTTTCAGCCTCAGAGGACGGTGTATCAGGGAAGATCCTGGCCTTTGATGGAGAATCGGTCATCCTGCCCTGCCGCATGGACGTCAGCGGCGACTTCCCTACAGTGGAGTGGTCCAAGGAAGGTCTGGATCGAGGCATCGCCTTCCTGTACCGCGATGGCTGTGAGACCCACGAGATGAAGAATCCGGTCTTCAGGTACAGAACAAACCTCTTCATGAATGAACTGATGAGGGGAAACATCTCGCTGAGGATTTCCAGCCTGCGGCTCTCTGATACAGGAACATACATCTGTAAGACCATCCTGAAGAAAGCCCAGAAAGTCATTAGAGTGGAGCTCTTTGTCGGTACGTCCCTTAAAGTTATTGTTCTCTAACTTGATAATTGTTTCCGTTCAGTCCAGAGTGCAGCCACACATTTGAGTTATAATCTGAGCTTTTACGAGAGTGTCTCAAATAAGCAGGATGTGGCGATCATTAAATAATAATAGCTTAATGAGTACTCTTTCAGAGAGAGAGACACACACACATCAGTCCATTAACTGCAACCCTACACCGCCTCAGGACAGCCCACAGACAATCTGCCCCAACCAAATTATAGCACCACTGTGACTGATGAGTCATTGAGAAAGATACTGACGAGGTACAGACCCAGTGGAGGACCGGCTGTGTCCACGTGGCAGAGACAGAGACACAGTTGTTGTTACACTGTGACAAATATGCAGAAATTAGAGCATTATTCTTTCCCAGAATCCTACAAAAATATTGAATTTGAGTCAGAACAGGACAAACTCAGATATCTATTAGGTGAAAAACAAAACTGCTGTACATTGGCAGCTAAATATTTGAGCTGCGGGACTTCCAGTGAAACACCACCGAATTAAATACTGCTTCTTGTTTTTCATGTTGAAATTGGCTGTTGTTGTTGCTTGTTTGCTTGTTAAAGTCATATATGTGTTACAGTTCCCTCTAGTGTTTGTGATTGTCCAAACATACACATTCATACTTTTATTATTATTGCTTTGTAACTGTTAATACCTGTTTGCTTTGGCAATATAACCACTGTCTATAAAGCTCATACATAAAAAGAAATTTAAATGAATATCAAGATTGCAACAACCTGAAACTGCAACTGAAAGTTTCAGTAGACTGAAAAATACCGAGACTCATCACTCAAAGGGAGAAAGCATATGAAAGTAAGCTTCCCATAACTCGAACCCTGTCACCAATACTGAGAAAGTATCTGTTCCCCAAAACATACAGTGTAAATATGTTCAATATGTCCTCATTTTTAATCACTGTCAGTGGATTTATTATATTATTATTATATATCATCGTTATTATATTTATTTTAAATTTATTTCCACTTGTGAAAGAAAACATAAGTGTGACTTTTCAGATCCTCTTTATTTCTAAAAAGCCACTATCAAAACATTATACAACTTATTAAAACCATAGTGTTAAATATATATTATGTTATAATGTGTATGATAATGCAGTTGAAAGACTTACTGACGTACTGCACCAGTCACATTCACATCAAAATGACTGGCTAACCCAGTTTATAAGACTGTAAATGTACTTGGAATAATGGAAATATATGTGACTGTCCTTTACTTAGACATGTATATATCGGCCATCGACCGCCCTGCTCTCTAAAAATCGTCATCAACAACTGAAAAGCCCGTATTGGTCGATAACTAGTCCGTATCTATAATAAATATGATTTAATAGAACTGATTTTGAGGTCACACCTTGTATAATTCTTGGTTTTGTAGGAGCATTTTCTGAGCCAAGGCTCTCAGTTGTTCCAGCTGTGGGAGGAGGAGGAGGAGGAGGAGGAGGAGGAGGAGGAGGAGGAGGAGTGACTCTGCAGTGTGAAGCAAACTGCTGGTTCCCGGAGCCTGAGGTAACATTTCTAGACCATCAGGGAAACAGCATCGGAGCTGAAGACCCAAAGACCAATCTGGATTCCAGGGGATGTTTCACCGTCACAAGGAGACTGACTGTGCAGGCTGACACCAACAGGTACAATTACAGTTTAATACTAAAGAGATTTCTCCCATTAGAAGTCCAGTGTGTAACCTTTAGGAGGCTCTATTGGGAGAAATGTAATATAATATTTGTTTTCATTAGTGTATAATCACCTGAATATAGGAATCATTGTGTTTTTACTTACTTTAGAACAGTGGTTCCCAACCTTTTTCCTTAAGGGACCCCCTTTATTGATATTTAATAATATATAACAGTGTAGAACGACTGATAAACTAAACTAATAACTGCAGGAAGTTTGTGTAAAATGAGCGATTTCTATGATATCTATATCTCCTTCTGATGTTTTTAGGAACTTTTTATTCAATTCTCTGTCTGTATTATGTCATTTTTTAAATCATACATACTTAATAGGCTTCTTTTTTTTTTGACAGACTCAGTCTTTTTGACCCTTGGCCTTTGTTCTATTAGCTTGTTGCTTGTTTTTACTGTGTAGTTTTCTAATGCAGGATGATTCTGTTTATCAGAGAGGAGTTTTTTATGTGTTTTTCATGAGTTTCGCAGCCACTTTAGTTTCTCCGCACACTTCACAGCCCGTTCCCATTCCCAGGTTGTCAAACACAGACGACATAGTGTTCAATTAGTTGCAGTCTTCGCCGCTAGATGCCACTAAAACCAGTCTCAAAGGGGGAACTGGACAAGGTTAGCAAACTAGTTAGCTGTTATAGAGACCAGACGTCCCTGTTTTCAATTAAAAACTAATGGAACTAAAACTGTCTTTATTTTAGGAGAATCTGCAGAGTTCATCAGCCTCGGATAAACCAAACGAGGGAAACAGATATTTACATACCAGGTACGCCTGAGCTCCATCCACCTGTAACAATTTACATTCATGCTTTAAACATCTGTCAGCCACATACATTATTGTGATACCACAGTTTGAGTTTTTTGTTTTTGGGGAATGGGAATGTTTCTACAATTTAAACATATCTGTAGTGTTTCCATAAGCCAGAAAAAGAATACAAAGTTCATTCATTGCTAATTCATTTTTCCAAATATTCTTTATACACATATTTTGGTCATTATTATTTATGTTATAAAACTAAAAGGTTCAGATCTTATTTCACTAATTTGTGGGTTAATAACATACTGAGGATATTCTCGCTAAGATAATTACATCAAAAGTATAGCTGTACATACCTGAGTCTCTTTATGGAGGAGACTTCAGTGACTTATACATTCAGTGTGACAGCAGTTGTTTGTGTTCAGTTCTGAGTTTTGTCTAAAGTTGTGGCTCTAAAAGAGCATACAGTGTGGGGCAGAAAGCAGCTCCTAATAATCTGACAACAAGTTATTCAGATGCTCTCTCTGTAGATGATATAATGTTTCTGAAATATCATATAATGAATCATTTCCACATAATCTTCATTATCATTTCAGCTGACTGCATGACGTCCTGCACTCTAACCACCAGCATCGCTGTTGTAGTAACTGTAGTTGTATGTGCATTGACTGCCTTCTTATGGAAGAAATATGGCAACTTCGGTAAGTCAACAACATTTGTTTATGTTAAGATACTTAGAAAATAGAAAAAAAATTAGAAATTCACCATCAGCTTCTTCAGCCAACAATATTTGTTATTATTGCATCTTTTTACATTATATTGATGAAATACGTTTGTTTTGTTTAAAAAAAATAAATAAATCAGTATATTTGTACCACTGGGGGGCGCCAAAGATACCAGATCAGCTCTGTTCTGGAGGGAATCAGTAGAGAAATTTGATAGAAACACCTGAACCACCAAAACTAAAGTGTGGGCGTTTGTTTTCTGAACATAATGTAATTTGTGCGTGGTACCTGAAGAAACTTAATCTTAAAGGATTAAAAATCTGGACTTTAACAGATGAAATATCATAATATCCACCAGTCAATCAATCTTTTTTACTGTACAAACACACAACTTTATCAGTGATTTGGGTGAAACTGGATCATATTTTTGTGGAGAGAATATTGTCTGGTTTTCTGTCTGACGTCCTCTGGCTGCTCTGCCTCAACTGCTGCTGTAGCTGCCGTAAGCATGTAACCGAACGGGGCTCAGCAGCCTCCCAGTAAACACAACCTCCAAGACAGATGGAGGCCAGTTTGACAACAGCGGTACCAACGTGATTTACAGAGTGTCCTGTTCCTGTTTCTTGGTTCTAAAAGTCAAATATGGCAAAAAACACGTTGGTACTGTATTCCCTGTCGTCAAACTGACCTCCGTCGGCACTGGATGGTGTATTTGGTCCCGGTCTGGCCGTGCTTTTCACTGGGAACTCCCAGTCCGGCAGTCAGCTAATAGGAGCGCTATAGTTGCTTGGCGGAGCGACACAGCACACATTCAGTACTAGTAGCTACTGCGACAAGTCCCTAGGGTACAATATGACCCAGGATGTATTCTCTATTTCATCTGGACTTTAATTGCAAACGGCAGCAATGAGTAGGTTAATGCAGCAATCAGCAATCAGGAAATATTCTGTTGTATGTTTCTGTTTCTGTTCTGTTTGAGAATTGATAGTAAAATTGAAATGTCAGGTGAAGCAGGTGCTAACAGAACATATATTTTGTATTCACACAGTGTGTGGACATAAATTGCCACCGTCCGTCCCTCATGACAAAGATGAGATCATCCGCCAACCAACTGAAGAACTCAGTGACCTCCGATCTAAGCAGAGTCCTGTTGTGTGCCAGCCTACGATTCATAAAAGTCCTTCCAGATCCTCACCAGACATTTCAAAACCCATTAACCAACATTCACACCAGTTTCACCAAGAGAACAACCAAAACCCAGCGGTCTCAATCAGCAACCGTCCAAAACCGGGCAACAAAGACTCAAAACCTGGAGTCTCGAGACAAAGTCCAGCACCGGGCCTCCTGAACCCAAGCAGCTGTCACAACCACAGCAGTCCTGCTCTTTTGACAGATAATGCTGCCGTGTCGTCCACTTCTTTTTCAGCCTCTCCAGAACAAAACCACGTTGTCCGTTCGATGAGCCTGTCTGAGTCGCAGCCTCGTTCGAACGGTGCCAGGCCCCAACGTAGGTACACCATGTCAGCCACGTCTAACCGCTTCAGTCCTCTGGAGAATATAACTGAAGATTCAGAGCCCTTGCTGTAATGAGAACAGAGCAGAAATGTGATCAGGTGTAACTAAAATCTAAAGTAAACCACTTACAGCTGTCAGTTGGGTGGGAGTTTGGTTGGTTTTCCTACAAATAGTTTGTATTACAGATGTTTTACAAAATGCTTACTCATAGTAACTCCTTAAACAGTCAAAAGTTGGCAGCAAAGGTTTTAGCAGCAGATATCCCGAACCCTCGGCAAATAAACAAGGGATGTGAATCTTCCAGATGAATCCGGAATTATGATTTTTTACGTGTTGTCTTAAACTCAACCTGCCAATTTTAAAAGGACAGGTGGGTGAGGCTGAAGTACGATTTGCAGTGCATGCTGTCTTTGTACTGCCGTTAGCTGCCGGCTGGTGGCAGGTTGTGACAGGTGCCTTGTTTCTATGTGTCTTATATACTGTCTTTTGTCATGGGCGAATTGTTGCTTGGTGACCAGTGATACACTGTCAGCTCTTGGCACATTACCAAGTCTTTGCACTCAAGATTAAAAAGAAGTCCTAAACACTGTTAACAGTGTTTTTTTTTACATAAATGTTGTGACATAGAATTGCTCCAAATGGTCGACTCTATCTCAGCATTTGTCTTAAAACAGAGGTACTTTGCACTTTTATATTAGAAAACTAAAAACTTTAATAAATAGGGAAACAGAAAACAACCCATGCACAATAAATATTTCCTCTTTATTGTGCACTGTGTGTGCCTATGGTGCTCATGGACTCTGGTAGTCCAGCCAGTGGTACTCCCAGGTTTCGGCTGGTCTGTATACGTTCCTGCTTTTTTGTCCCAATCATGTGCCTGATAAAAAAAAACTCTGTATTGCTGCTAGAGGTGTAAAGATTTACGAATACGAGTCATAAATCGGTTTTAACGTTATAAATGCAACTACTTGGGTACGCTGACCCCTGGATCGATCTAAGCGTACCATGGACCGATCGATGGTCCGATTTTAACGTTATGAATTGGCTTTGCTGCTAACAGTAATTCTGTAATTCTGAAATGATACATTTATCTTTTTTTTTTTTCCCCCATAGAGGAGGAAAAAATACTTGGGATTCTTATTAAATTCTTGTAAAATATATTTACTTGAAGCAATGTCACTTAGAATGGAAAATACACCAATCAGCCATAACATTGTGAGCACTGACCAAGGCTGGCCTGTGTGGTCTGATCCATAAGACGAGCTACTGTAGCTCAAACTGCTGAAACAGTTAATGCTGGTTCTGATAGAAAGGTGTCAGTCAGGGTACTCAGGTGGTCTAATGTTAGGACCGATCGGTGTAAATGTCTACATTAAACAAATGTTAAGAACTGTATCAGATTGTATCAGATTTTTCCATATTAAAATCCATCGTATCGTATTAAGTCCATCTTATAATGCCAGTTGAACATCGTTGTCTATGTGAAACAAAGATTTGTTTATGTGAACAAAGATATCATGTTGCAACAAAAATATCATTTTTCTTTTGTTGTTGTGCATATCTATACATATTCTGCCTGTTGCATAAAACACTAACCTGTTGCAGCACCTGATTTGACGGGGTTCCTTTATTCTTTGAGTCTTTATTTGAATGATTTTATATTATGTCTGTAACATGTTTTGCATGTTTTTAAAGTTCCCATCTGTATGTTATTAACAAAATAAAGAGCCTGTATTTGTTTAATTACTTGAAAACCTTACAAATAGATAAAGAGCACCCCTTAGTGAATACATTGTGACATTGCAGTATGTAGTGCAGGGAATCAGTCTGACAATTTATGGCATCAAAAATTTTTGACATTGACCATTTGACTTTCAGCTGAAGATATAAATCCAGATATTAAATGTTAGAAGCAGAAAAAGAATATATATGATATGATATGATATGACTTTGTTTTAGGCTTAATTAAGGTGAATTTTCCCTGCTATTTACAAAATCTTCACTGATTATGTGGAAACTTTGAAACTATTTGAAGGAAATGTTATAGACTTGATATCCAGTGTGAAGGTCTTGATACTACCATGAGGTCTTCTGTTTTAAGGAAATAACCTAAAGAAGAGTTCAGAATACACTTTACAGGCAGTGGAAAGGTAATTAAGGCTTAACTACAGGGATATTTTCCAGCAGTTGCCACATCAAACGTTCACTTTTAGGAAACAGACGCTGTGGACAGTTGGCTTATCAGACAGTGAATACATTCTGGTTATCACACTGAAAGTACTCGGCTGAGTCGTGGTTGCTACATTTAATTTAGGCAACAACAAATGCTAAATACTCGGTTACTAAGCCTCAGTAACTAACAATGCCAATACTTATTAGTCTACCACTGTTTATAACACAGGGCTGCTTTATAAAAGACAATAGCACACATTTTACTTACAGTTTTTACTCAGGTGGAGCATTGCTCTTAAACTCCCAATCTGCTGGTCACTGGAGCAGTTGGGGTTTAGGGTCTTGCTCAAGGGCACATCGGTGGCAGTGAGGAAGGAGGGGTCAACGCTCCTCTAGCCTTTAGTCCACCACTGGCCCAGTTACAGGACATCAGTCTGGTGTGCTGCTTTACAGGCCTATTACATGAACGATTAGTGTGTACACGAATCCAAATAAAGCCACACCGACGAGTAAACCTGCAGTGACTGCCAAACCGACCGCAGAGCTTCTCCTGCAGCTCTTTCAGTACAGCCCTGCAGACTTTGTTGATGCTCTTCAAGTCGGGGCCTTCAGTGGTGGCGAGTCCCTCCATGGTCTGGTCCAAGTCTGGAGCTGGCCTCCCACGTACCAAAGCTGAGTCCTTGCTGCAGTGGCCATGGGTTCGAGTCCTTTTGCAAAGTGTCATCCCCCCCCCCCTCCCCCCCTCTCTCCCTCTCTCTCTCTCTCTCTCTCTCTTTCTCTCTCTCACACCCCTTTCTGGTCTATCTTGAGCTGTCCTATCCAATAACAGCAACCCTCTTTTTATTGGCCAAAAACAAACAGACACACAGCTGCAATTTTCTCAATTAATAACTTGTTTTCATAAAATGTGATGGGGAAAAATAGTGAAAAATGACCCAATGCCTGAGGTGACAATTATTTACAATATATCAGATATCAATAGGTTATAAACCAATACACCAACCCCTAGATACAACACTGTGTTAATATAGCTGTAATATAATATATATAGTGAATAATTAGATGTGTGCATGTTTATGTATTCGATATGGGCTCTGTTCTGGGACAGACACTAGTGTGTAATCTTCCCCCAACAGCCCCATAAAGTCCACTGTTTCATTTATCTTAGCAGGGTTTTGGTGATTTAAAACATTTTTTGGGAAATGAGTGCAGTGCTGTATCTGCTATTAAAGATCGATGTCAACTCTGAACTCGTAATACAGTAAATGACCAGCAGATGGCAGCATTACAGCACTGAAGACTTACACAGTATGAAGGCAAGTTAATAAACAGATACCCACACAACGTGGAAACGTGGAAAAAGTCAAAATTATCCAGTTCAGAATATGATGGAAGTGGTAATGGAGGTAAAATGCTCATATATTAGTGTGATTCTTATTATACAATCGAAAAAGTACATATTTACTCTACAATACCTTGTAATGGTCACTTTAAATGGTTAATATATATTTATAGGGGGAAATAGTCTATTTAGACCTTCCTCTTGCGTGCCTCAGTATATTGAGGCATGTTCACACTGGATACAATGAATTATGGGTAAAATGCTGTGATAACCGATGTGATAGAGGCCCGTTATTGGCTGATTCAGTGTGCACTTTTTTGGCTTTTTGCCATCACACCTAATTTAAGTCCTTTAGTTATTGAATGGTGCAACACGTCTTCATACTAAAGCCACAGGAAGCAAAGCTTAAAACACCTGAGCTACCAGACTGGGAATATCTTAATAACCATCCATTGATGGAGACGCATAGACAGACATGTTGTCTAATAAATACAGACTTTTTTTTATCAGAAAGCGAGACAGTGAATCCCTTGTTGTTTCTCAAATAATGATTTTTTTTAGAATGAAAATATCAAAGAAGCCAAAATGATCAGAAAAAACTAAAACAAAGAAACAAGTAGCATAGGAATTCAATTAGGAAGAAAACAATGCATAAAGACGTAAGAGCATCACAGTATATGTACTTATTCAGGCTTGACAAAGGTCTATAAGTACCTTTATACTCTTTAGTACTTGTGTTCAGTCCATTCGTTGTTTGTTTTTGGTCAGTGTACTTTGCAGCCAGCGGATTTAATTTTTGAAACCACAATTGGAAAACAAGCTGTTTCCTGAATTTAGTTTTCTGATTTCAAAATGAAAATCTGCTGGCTGCAAAGTACACTGAGAGTTCTTTTCATTTTTCTTTGTACCTTATGGTTTTTTGTGTGCTGCTACTGTCACATGTGAATTTCCACCCAGGGTTAAATAAACTTTTTATCTGTAGTCAAGGGGGTCAAGAGGCCTTCTTGATGTTAAAGGGTGTTAGAAAACTCTGTCTCAGGCCTATATCTCAGTATTTTGTTAATTTCTTTGAACAAACTAAATTAAATTGTGTTTTTCTATAACTTTAGATAGCGTGTATGATTGTTCAAAAATAAAAAATACATAACACAGACAGATTGTATAAAGAAGTTACTAAAACTATCAAGAAAACTCATCTCTGATCAATATTCACAGGAAATAATCTACTCAAAATTCATCCAAATTGCACAAACTTCCTGCAGTTATTGTGTTCACCGTTTGGGTTCATTGTACAGTTAATCAGCTGTTCTGTGCTGTTATTGTTATTATTGAATATAATGTGAAATATCCATAAAATCAGTTTACCCTGATAGAAAAGGGGTTCCTTTAGGGAAAAGGTTGGGAACCACTGATCTCCAGTATAACTGAAATTGTCTAATGCTCACCGGGTGGACACTTGATTTCTAAAATGGTCACATTTTGGTCAGATGATCATTCTACTCATGTGTTCATATAAACAAATAAAAGGAAAAACATTAAAATACAGAACTTAAATCCACGGAGGGGATCTTCTTTCCCTTGTCTTTCTCTCTCTGTGGTAGCTGCAGCTATTGTTTTGGTTTCCTAAGCCATTTGAGGCTACAGGCTTTCTTGACTAATCTACTTCCTGATTCGTATTGGCTGAGCTATAGAGAAAAGAAAGGATCGGAGGTGAGGTGGTCTGTGTGTGTGTGTGTGTGTGTGTGTGTGTGTGTGTGTGTGTGTGTGTGTGTATGCAGGCCTGTTGTCTCTGTTCTCTAAGCTGTTTAGAGCTACTACTGCCTGCTGGTTCCTGGAAAGACATGCTGATCTTTTGTCTGAGCGCGTTTCCCTGGCTTCAGTTCTCTGCACAAAAGGTAAGTTTGGGACGCAGCACAAAAACACAAAGCATGACGTCACACGGCCGGTGGCGGGCTGGGAGGTGCACTGGTGTTAACGAGAGCCCATCCCATTACCAAAAAACAGATTAGGTGTTCCCTGCGCTCAAAGGCCGAGGTGTTCTGCCAAAGTGTCCTCAAGCAAGACAGAGAAGCCCTGCTCAGTGAGGATAAGTCTGTCAGGATAAGAGCATCAGCTAAATGTGCGTTTGCGCTATGTATGCTTACATTTCACATACGTACGCCTCGGACAGCGAACCACATCGGGAAAGAAATGAGCGTGCACACTGAAAAGCTAAAAAACAAATCCAGATCATTTGTGAGAATATCTGTGATTGATAATCCGAGTGAAGTAGGCAAGAAGAAAAAACCCTGAGAAGCCCAATTTAGTGCAAGAAAATCTCCCATCTCCTGATAGGAATTGAGTATTGGTGGTTCAGATTTTAATTACCTCTGGGAACTTTTCAGAGAACAACAAGTGGTGCAGACAGGAAATGGCTGTAGAGGTTTGTGGGATGTCGCAGAGCCCATGAAATTTAACCACATCAAATTTCACAAATAGTCCAAATGAGAGAGACAGAGGCAAGACTGAGACGGATGAAAAACAATGCTTTTGCAATTACCAGTGAAATGAGTTTTGGCAGGCAGGCATACGATTGCAGTTGACATTGGCTGCCTGGTAACCATGACCGAGACCAAGACAAGTCAGAGTCAAATATTGTCTTGAGACCGGACTCGAGTTCTACAACAGTGCTCTGAGACGTGAGTTGCTAATCGGACTGTAAACAGGAACCACCAATACGAAAGATGTAGTCTTCCGTTATCCGGATATCTACTGGCTACACCGGAAGCCCCGAACTGTCGTCGGACGATAGCCAATTATTCCTAAGACCGCTCATACCTTTAAGATAAAGCACTAATTATCTTGTTAGCATTCGACAACAACAGCTGTGACGTGGATGGCTTACACTCGTGCGTAACTGCTGAATGTTTTATTTTGGGTTAGATGGCAATATCCAATGCCGTCAACCTGAAATCCAACCTGAAAGTGCGAACAGACTTGCCCTACGTACACGGCATACTTAGTTTAATGTCAGCCATTATTTTGTAGAGGGGCACTTTTGATTCCAATAGATATCCAATTATAAGACGTCAATAGCGTCTACTCTTGAAGATACCTGGAAAGCCCTCTTGGTTGCTACCTAAATAGGAAACTTTCCAGGACATGGAGCGGAGGCGTCACTCCCATCGATGGACTTTTTTTGAAGACAGATGCTGTTGTTGAGCGCCAACGAGGTCAGGCCTCCCGCTGG